TAACACGATCATTCCTCGAGCATCCGAGGATCAAGGAATGAGCCTATCCACATCTTGTCTAGAACATCGCTCTCACCCAATTGGCATGTGGGTTAATCAAGTTATCGCCGCAGATCATCATCAGGGAGCTTTCTTTGCCTTGGTTGGTTCGTGGGGAACAAGAAGCAGGAACCAGGCAGCCAGGCAACCAGGGGCTGAGCCGTATACATCACCTTTTTTTTTTTTTTCAGCCGTGATTTACAGCCGCGGAGTTTCTGAAGTATCGACACGGTCCGACGCCTCGGTGTTTGAAACAGTTCAGCCTGAGGCGAGGCACAACCACATCCGGCTTAGTGATGCGACCCCTGACAAGCCGCCCCTTTTGTCGCCTTTAGCGAGAACTGCTGGAGCGGGCGTCAGACGATCCAAACCCCTTCCGGGCTAGAGAGGCCGTAGCGTCCCTGTGGAGTCTAGACCCTTGCAACTTCACGTGGCAGACGTCGGCTCCGCTGCAGCATCGTTCGGCCCTTCCCGAGTTTGGCACCAAAGCCGATGCACTAATCTTAGCGCGACAGCCACACCCTGCTTTACGTTACAGCGGAATGAGCCGCTTACCTTACCTTAATTACCTGGTAATTTACACCCTTTTGGCTTTTCAACCATGTGGCTTACTGCAACTTGCCTCCCCCCGGGTGTAATGTGATATATACCGACATTCGCGGATCCGATCCTGGGCTGATGAGAGGCTTAGACGTTGTCAGGAGGTATGACAAGATCATGTCATCACCAATATGGTCTCATCCAGCTAATGTCCACATACTGTACAAAGCAGGGGGGGGGGGAATAAGGAGGTCGAATACCACGTATTGTCGCTCGTAAGAAAACTGATCGGCTACCATTTCCACTTCCGGGCGATCATCTATACATCGAAGCCACAAGGCAGATATGCACATTCACGGATCTAGTATATTCCTGTTCCTGTTCCTGTTCCTGTTCCTAGATGACTCCTTCAACGGCAACAGGTGTAATTCAATTTACCGGTCGAAGAGACAAAAAAGATACTAGCACCCCGTGAGAACCATCATCGTTTCAATCCCCATCGCCATCGGCAGTGCTACGGTGCTTAGCCCCATAAAACACGATCATATAATCAAAATCAATCAATCTACTCGAGTCATGGTCGCTTAACCGATATCAAAAAGCCCCCAAACGAAGGATCGCCCCCGGTACTGTTAGCCCGTGGTCTTCCAGACCCATTGCAACCACGGCATTGTATCGATAGTATCGGCCGTCCACCCCAGGCATGGAAAAGTCCCCTCGCCATCATGTCAATAACGCGACCGAAAATCAGCTATAGTGTCGCATCACTCGGTCATCACCGAATCTACCATGACCAGATCATGATATTCGACCGTGAACTATCGACGGACTATCGAAAACAACACCCCCTGTCAAAAGAAGATGACCACAGTAGCGCCAAAGCAGGTAAGCCAGAAGAAAAATAATAATAATAATAATAATAATAACAAATAAAAATAAAAGAAGAAATACAGAAAAAAACCACGCCAAAAGAAAACCAGTAAAATACCAAGACGGAAATAATCCACGAACACGGACTTAACACACCCCCACCACGGCCATCATGTGGAGCAGGAGGGGGGGGGGGAGTGGAATGGAAACTTTGAACCCGATTTTCGCCCGGCAGCGAGCGGCCGAAGCCCTCATTTCCTATTCGGTCCAGCAGCAACCCAGCTCCTATCGGAAAGGGGGAGATTGACCATTGCATACACTGCACAGTCGTAACTTGGATGGTGGGGATCCGATCATCATTCAGTCTCTGTGTTCGCTTGCCCAGTGCCGAGGTTGATTTCCATCTCATCTCTCTATTCGTATTCAGCTACGTATAAACTTATTTTTACTTTATTCATTAATTTATCCCCTTGGCAATTAAAAAAAAAAAAAAAAAAAAAAAAAAAAAAAAAAAAGAGCAAAGGTGCCCCGTCGGGGTAATATCAATGAGACACGGTATAGTATCCTTTTTCATTAAGATACGAGTCAGGCAGTGAAGACGCCGATGAGTAATCATCACATAAGGAAAGTGGGTGTAACTGTCTGGACTACAATGTAGGCATTAGATCGCTGTTGGGGTCCCAGTCTGTGGAAGTTGCATTCGCTCATGGGCAAATGATACTATATACAATACCGGTTCCGGTTTAGTGGCAGGACACGTCAATCACAAAGCTAAATGCCCACGCACTGGTCGGATTATCAGTGGCTCATGGCGGAAGAAGGTTGGTAGATTACAACCACACAATGATTAATTTATTTTTCCATGGCCGGGTAGATTGAAGGGATGTGTGTGAGGTATTACCGTGTCATCTGTGTGTACTAGTAGTTGTCTATTCTTTTGTATTGCTTCCTGAGATATATATCCCATCTGGTACGCATACATATATATATATATATATAGACACATAGATAGAGAGAAGATAAGTAAGCAACTAGAGTCCACCGATCCTTGCATACAGGAGTAACCAAAAAAGCAAACCCGCCCATTCCAACGAGACAAGACAAAAATGCAGATCGGAATTCGAATCAAGGACAAAAACAACACCACCTGGCCATAGCTTTTGGACCCGCAGCAAAACCAGGACCTGACCTTCGGCGATGCCGAGGTGAAACTCTAAACTCTGCTCAACCGCTTAGTCAACAAGGGGAAGTTGTACTTCCCCTTGCGGCCTAGCGGTAACAGAGAGTGAGTGTACTGTACCCTAACGAAGTTGGGCGGGGCGGGAGGGGAGTAATATCCGACCTGTGGGTTCGAAAAACGAAGTTGTGCTAAGACCCAAGACATACTTAAATGTTGTTTCTGTATGGTATGGACGGTACGGCGAGTAACTAACTAGTATATACAAGATTACGGAGTACAAACATGAGGCTCAGTGATGTCCACTAGCAGACAAGTACCAGTCCAATAGTATGTCCTCCGTAGACAAGGATGTAGTTCCTATATGGTAAAGAAGTCAGGTAACAGTTACCACCCTCCCACACCAACGTCGCATACACACTGCAACATCAATCCCACAGCGGGAGTCGTATCGATTACCCAAGGCGGCTAGGCCCATTGGATGAAAAAAAGCACCGACAAGCAGATCTCCGGCGTGGCAGCGGGCCCTTACCTGGAACGGTTTAGTGATGCGTCGGTCCCCAGTCGCCCTAACCCCGAACGGGATTCGTGGCCGAGAGGTTGGGTCGCTTGGCTTTTTTGGGTCGCCTCCACTTTGGCCGGTTTTTTTTTTTTTTTAATCTATTTGGAGAGTTGGTTTTGTGGATTCTTTTTTGTCTTAATTTCCTAGAACGAGAAGGCCAGACGACAGTGACTTACTTTGCCGCCCCCCCATGGAAAAGTGATCGACACGGGACTTGACTTTCGTGCGTTCTTGTCTTGTCTATTTGATCTTAGTGTGGCTTCTTGGTTGGCGCTTGTTGTATACAATGGCCTTACTACTGGTACATGGAGATTGAACGGTGTTTCAGACTTTGCCATCGTGTTTGGTTCGGGGCTTTAATCTACTATACTTTTGGTGTGGGCTGCTTCTGTTCTTCATTCCTGAAGGATGGGAGGATTCTTGGGGGCTGGAATTCCTGGTTGACTTCTTGGGTCTGTGGGAAAGTTTCGAGGGAAATTAAATAAAGAAAAAAAAAATAATACAAAGGAAATCCATGGGCAAACCATAGTAGCGGACAATTAAGATCTACAAGAGAACGTAGGTTAGATACGAGATCAGGCCCGGAACAAAGGAGGAATATCAAACATCTATGACGTGGCTGTAGCTTACCCTGACCTTGCAATGTGCAGGACAGAGTATCAGAAACCATCAATCAACATCACAAGACGGTATCACCAGGTGATGTTGTCCAATAGAGACACCCCCATCGCCACTGATCTTGCATGACAAGTGCCGAATGCTCAGGTTGGCCACCACGCAGCGTCTGTCGGTAGAACGGGGGCAACAAGAGGCAAAAAAGAAATGCGAGGCAGCCCGACCAATGAGCCTGATTCCGGTGTTTGGTTCCTTCCGATCCCGATCTGGGTTAAGATGCGCTAGATCGTCGTTTTGCAGTGTGATGTCGTCTGCATGTGGCTGTTTCAGAGATGACTACTATTCCTACGGTCTAGCGCTGCCATGTTATGACGAAATGGATTGGTTTGGTTCGTCGGTTGCACAGGGTAATCTCGCATGGATGTATATGGCTGACCCTCGTATACTATATATGACACTATTCAGGATAATGCTGATGGGAGCATGGGTTCTGCTAGAGCTGACATCTTAAGCTCCATCCGCCTGGACAGACAGGGGGACCTCAACTGCTTTCTCCTAGCCATGTGGTCTAGTGGGAAATAACCGCCGGCCATATTTAGGCGCCGGTTACCTGCGGACGACCAATACGTTTGGCCGGCGTGGAGCACTCGGTGTAGGAAGGATTCTGTTGCCTGCATTGGCGCAAGGTCCGTGAGCGAGTGGGTGTGGGAGTCATAGCAGTTTCTTCGATCCGGTTAGCAGTACAGTCTGTGCTCACGATGGACGTACGTTCACTGCGCCCTACCTGAGAGAGTCACGCTCACGGTGAGCTAGCTAGTGTATGTCCAGTCCAGTGTACACATCAGCCCATGAGGGCCACTTACGACAGCGTGGGGTTGCAATCCATCTCTCCGGGACGCATCAAAAGAGGAAGGACCCGAGCCACAGTGATGCTCAGCGACTGCGCTAAGCCGCTAATACCTCGTGCTAAACCTCTGCGGATCGCCTGGAATAGTGGGTTTCACTACTTGGCCGTTGGAATTCTTGTCTAAGACAGAGTCTAATTAGTGCCATTCCTATCCGGGTGCGGCGCATGAGATCAGTCGTTTTGGACGCAACGTGATTTGGACATTATATGCAGGGTCAAGTCGATATTCGATCAGGATTTCAACTCTGTACAACGGGCGAATGGATGAATCATTCCTGCGTACATGGCCTGATTTTCTTGGTTCTCTGCGGGTGCCTGGACGATGAAGTCAGACCGAGCGCAGGTCAGCAATACAACCTGACCAGGATGTTAGCTGGAATGGTTTTAGCGGGATTCTAGTTCTATTCTAGTCGGAAAGAAGGAAATCCCCTACTGGGGCGAGGCCCAAATCTCGCATGGAACGAACATCACCTGGTCGAATTAGCCACATAACCCCCAACCCTCACCGGTCCTTCCCATGGGAATGGATCATTAATAACAGAATCATGAGTAATACCAGGGGAAAGGATAGCGATTGTCCAACCCCGGACCGGAGCTCGCCAGCGATTGGAGCAGCTCCTGCAACCGAACCCTCCAGTCGCTATGACAGATCATCCGCTGCTGCGACTCTGGTAAATCGCCAGGGATCTTGCATCCACACAGCCAACACCCCTGCGATAACGGACACAGTGACTGGTGGCCCTCCTGATTTACCACACAGAAACTTTCTGCCTATTCTTGAGTAGGAACCTGGAGCAGTTCGCTGGCCGACCATGGAGGGGGGGCATCTTCTACGATGAGAAACAGGGAAAACAGTAGGGCAAGGTCGGAGGGGGCCGTAGAGAAGAGTGTAGTACTCCGTATATGCGTGTGTAGGCCATGCAAGTTTGCAGCCCCTCTTTCGCATAGCCTTTCTCATTTCTTCCCCCCACCTCGACGGAAACCGCGTTAACGAGGCGAAAGTTGGGCAGAGAACGGGATGATGTCTGAACACCCCACGCGAAGTTTGACCCCCTCCCAAAGCAACGGTTCTCGGAGCTCTCTGCTCCCCAGAAACCAGGGTGTTTGACTCGAAACCAGATGAAGGGATCAAGATATCATAGAACCATCATCATCATCATCATCACCATCAAACCATATGCTTCCAACGGTATTCTTAGCTTCATCGTGCTCGCAAAATTTCGCACCAATCAAGCCCGTATCCCCGCACGCCCGATCCAGACGACGACGGTGTCGATCATAGTCGGATGTAACGAATAAGACGTGCATCCCGTCGATAGGGATTTAACCCAAACAAGACGCATGCAAGAGACTGCGCTCGACTTCACTGGAGCGAATGTGGTCGTGGCAATTCGAATAGAGTTGCGAGTCAGAGGCCCTGACTCGGCTCTTCCACTCAAGACTCGAGAAACTAAATTGCGGTAGCCACCGTCGACGCCTAATGTCGCCCATTCGACATGGTTTTTCACCGGACTGCTGGTCTGATTGGCATGTAAAACCCCCGACAAAGAGGCCATGCGTGGTTTTTTTTCTTTTTCCCAGGGTTGATCCGCAACGGAAATGTCCGATAATCTGCGGCCAAACCAGAAAATCAAGACGCCTAGTCAGGTCGTCCAATGATCGTGTTGTCGATCATAATGGCCTTGTATCTATACAATTCATGCGTTTTTTTTTATTGATTCTCTTTTTTTTTTTTTTTTTTTTTTTTTTTTTTTCTTCTTCTTAGCCTCGTCTGTACCGTAAATCCCAACCGGCCGGGAGGCTGGCTGGACATCTGCATTCGTGGGTGCATCAGTGTGATCCCTCCAGGGCACCACACCGTAAAGCTCTGGTCTCCACTGTAAAACAAGGAAAAAGGAAAAGGAAAATGTTACCACAGTGCATATCCACTAAAAGATGATGTGGAGGAAAGAGCGAAACCGGATGATCTTCGTTTCCACTGCAATGCAGGAGGGCCTGTTCTCATACCTCACATCATCCTGTGATTCTCGGGCTATGCTAATATTATCAAGTTGTTATAGTCCTTCAGCCCCATATGCATGGCCCCATTTTCTATCACACACGCGCGCACTCAGTCCACGTCTGCCAAACACATGGATCCTTAATGCAAACTCTCTGAGAGGTATTTTTCCCTCTCTCATTCGCTTCTTAGTCTGTCTCTGTAGGGTAACCCTTAACGACTTGACAAGCACGGACAATGTCAAAGTATGCCTGTATGTATAGTAGTCACATTGACTTTTCGTCGTCAAAACTATCGCACTGACAACCAGCGGCTCGGATCGCCATCGGACAGTGAGGGATGTGGTGTGACACGTAAGAAAACATATCAGGGTGTCAACAATGCGTTATTGTTTATCATGTGCCTGTATCGTATCTTTGCCTCCCTTTTGACATGTATACCCTCCGTATATCCTGCTCTTTTTGGTTGTGTATTCGGCCGAATGGGTTGTCTTGTCCGCCTGTATTGCCTGACTGCCTCGTGACCTGGCTAACGTCGTCTCTATCGCATGCTTGACTCTTCCAACCTAGCTCCGTTGCGTGTGGCTTGACTGCTTGGGTGTGTGCCTCGGTTGTTGTTCGACAACTGGGTTCCTATCTTTCTTGCACAGCTGATGATTGTGTAGATTGGGTAGTTTTGACCAGAAGTTGACAGTGATTTATACCATGATTCTGGGTGAGGGATAGTGTAGAGGTAGACGTTTGAAGCTGTGGTTTGAGGTCACTCGTGGATGTTAGAGAATCAATGCATGTACAAATGTCTTTGGTAAATAGAGAAAAAAAAGAGAGAGATATATATATAGAGAGAGAGAGAGAGAGAGTCAGCACGAGTTTATTCCAATATATAATCATCAACCCAAGGAATATGCATCAAGAACAACGTATAGGTATGCAACATTCTATGTATATATGTATATGAACGGATTTTGTATATATCCTGCGTGAAATCATCAATCGTCATATTTACCTGGCTTGCATCTAACGCTGCCTCCTCGTCAAGACCAAGATCAAGCTTCCAGATCCAAGCTCTCCAAGATCTTGTCGAGTTTATTCATCAAGATGTGATAGTTCATCGAATCCTTATCGAATTCATCCACGACAATTTCTCCGTTTAAGTTGCGCATGACATGGTCATGATTCTGGTCTTCCTGGGAAATATGTTCTGCACCCTTACGTCCTTCAACGGAACCATTGTTTGTAAGATCGATTGCTCCTACACCATGCACAACCTTTTCAATACTCTCATCGTTGGCATTCGCGCCGGTGGCATGCTGCTCGGCCTCCTCTTCCATCATTTCTTCAAGGCCAGTGTCGTCGAACCTGAGTCTGAATCGCTCGCCCAGGTAAAAGCGAATGTCGTCTAGCAGCTCGATAGAATCGGTCTCCTGTCTTCCTTGGATACGAGATGCCGACTCTTGAATTAGTTCAGCAAACTCAGGTGAGTCGATGTGGGCTTCCAGCCGATACGCCAGGTAGCGAGCCGCGAATTCCTCCAGTCGTTGAACCCGTGTCATCCATGCAGCTCGAATGATGGCATATATTTCGAGGTCATCTTCCTCCTTAGTGCCCCGGGTCTTCGCAGCTTCCGCCTGGGACATGTTACCGCTACCGAGGGTGCTGATCACAACTGCTGCTCTGGTTTTAAGCTTCTCTATAAACAGCATGTCTGCAGCGAACAGAACGTCAACCGCAACTTCAAGCGGGAAATCGGCCCTTTCGGTGTAAAGGAACGTAAGGATAATTTCTAGCACGTCAGGGGAGCAGTCGACATTGATGATGTGTAAATGATCTTTTAGATGCGCTTCACGGAATGGTGACGAGAACATGGTATGGAAGAATTCAGACCTCAAAAGCATTGCCCGATGGCAGGGAAAGAGGACCGACTTCCGGATTTGCTCTTTTGAGCCAGCATTGGCAACGCCTCCTGGCTGTAGGATACCGTTGATATGCTCATCCGTATCCTCCGGCAGTTCATCAGCCTGGAGCAAGACATCTGCATATATGGAATTGTTGCGATCCCATTTGATGTCCTCTGCCTTGATTGTTTCGACTACCAACTTATTTTGTAGAACATTGTTGCGGAACCATTCCTCTAATTGGTCTCTCCCCTTTGTAAGTTCCGTAGTTCTCCTCTGCCTGGCTAGTCTCCTGTCACCACTGTCAAGAATGCTGTCCACAAGAGTGTCGATCTCCAAGTGACTGGCAATCCTATCGATGCCAGCAAAGACTTCCGATTCAGTGAAACCCGTGCCAGGTCCGCTTCTTAATTCACGGGGTGCTTCCCCGAAGTATAGATATCTGATCGCTGCGGCAAAAGCCTGTGGTGGTATAGTGCTGGGGAGGTTCCATGTTGCGGTATCAGGGGAAGCTGCCAGCTTCCTCCGGAAGTAAGGTGATCGCGCAGAGAGTATGAATTTATGTAAGTACAGAGGCTCATCCTCGGCACTCACAACGATATCAGACGTCCCAGGCTGGTCCCGGGTGAGGAGGGAGGAGATGTGAGCTGCAAGGGGTTGAAGGGGATCAGTCGATTTAGAATAGTCATATTCAAGCAACAAATTCCGAATGCGGTCGTTCAGAGCATTGTATAGACATCTACATAAAGCGCGCATGTCAGCGGTACTTGGAAAGTTGGATGGCAACTAGACCGGCCATACCTTTCCCCTTGGAATGTATCTCGCTCGCATAATGCGCCGGACTCGAGAAGCAATTGGGCAACCTCGTAATGGCCACAGAGACTTGCCTGCACGGTTCTTAGCAGTGAACTATTGGCTTTCCATCACCCAAGACTTGCCTAATTCGACAAGGTTGCCAGGGTGGTCCTATGGAAGTCAAGATCACTTACCAAGATCAAGGGGGTGTAATCATAGGGGTCGCGAGCATTAATATTGACTCCTTCTGTGATCTTCTCTTGACAAACTTTGAGATCCCCCTTACGACAAGCAGTGCAAAGCTCCCGAAACGGCTCACTAAGATCGAGAGGGTTATCGTCCTTGATGGTTCCCTCCTTGATCAGTTTCTTTTCATTGTGTAAACTGATCTCTAATTGATCCTTGCGAAGCACAGTCGGTTCAGACATTGCGAGTGAGACTTATGCCGATGGTGTCTGGAGATATTCGATAATGTTGCCGAGAGAGGGACTGTATCGGTTGGCGATGCCATCATCTTATCGATAAGAGGGGATCACGTGGGGCATCTGATCGCCACATAGGAAAAGGAGAAGCCCTTCAAAGGGGGGTCTATCCGCTTCTAGTCCTTACAGAATACAACGCCAGGAATCAGTGTGAAAGGACAATAGATTCATGTGCAGCATACTAGATGCACCATACACAGAGGCGTGCCTGCGGTTGCATAAGTGACAGATCTTACAGCAAGATGGAAATATTTACACACTCAACCAACAATGACGGTGGTGATGATGACATGACTCCTCACCGCCCTCATTTCACCGCCTACTATATGAAGCAAGGATCGCTTGCGCACGCCGTTGCTCAGCAACAGTGCTTCAACTAAACATTCATGGCCTCCGTCCCGTTGCATGAAGACTTACTTCTTTAAATCTACCAATTTTACTGCATGTCCAGAGCCGACCTCGTTGTCTACTAACCAAACAGGTTCCACGAAATAGGACCAACTCATGAATGAGCTGATCACTCATCCATCGTCTTTCAATTCTCCTATTCGGCCTTTCCCTTTACCCTTACGTGCTTGTCAGTGGCATAATCTACTCAGTAGCCACAATGGCAATTGCATTGGCAGAAGCAGACAAGTATGAGGTGCTGGAGAAGATTGGTAAGGCATACATATATCTCTATGTCTGATTCTTGGCCCCGCGAAATATCTGACTGTGCTCAGGTTGTGGTTCCTTCGGCATTATTCGCAAAGTCAGGAGGAAGACAGATGGCTTTGTAGGCTCACCAAACCCCTCTTCTACGTTGTACAACTACTTACAAACGCGATCTGCAGATCCTGTGCCGCAAGGAGATCAACTACATCAAAATGTCCCAAAAAGAACGCGAGCAGCTTACGGCCGAATTTAATATTTTGAGCTCTCTTCGACACCCGAACATCGTCGCTTACTACCACCGTGAACACCTAAAAGCGAGCCAAGATTTGTATCTTTACATGGAATACTGCGGCGGCGGCGATCTCAGCATGGTTATCAAGAACCTGAAGAAGACGAACAAGTACGCGGAAGAAGAATTTGTTTGGCGTATACTTTCTCAATTGGTCACTGCGCTGTACCGTTGCCATTATGGTGCAGACCCGGCGGATGTAGGGTCCAACATTCTAGGACCTGCACCCAAGCCCTCAGGCCTCAAGGGGAAGCAGGCACAGATGACAATCCTGCACCGCGATTTGAAACCGGAAAACATTTTCCTGGGACATGACAACACGGTCAAGCTAGGAGATTTTGGCCTTTCTAAACTGATGAATTCTCATGATTTCGCATCAACATATGTCGGCACTCCATTTTACATGTCCCCCGAGATATGCGCTGCGGAGAAATATACCTTGCGTTCAGATATTTGGGCTGTCGGCTGCATCATGTACGAACTTTGCCAGAGAGAGCCACCTTTCAACGCGAGGACACATATTCAACTTGTCCAACGAATCCGCGAAGGCAAATTCGCTCCGCTGCCTGAATTCTACTCTCCTGAGCTGAAGAATGTCATTGCTAGTTGTTTACGAGTAAACCCAGACCACCGCCCCGACACTACCGCTTTGATCAACCTTCCTATCATCCGCCTGATGAGGAAGGAGAAAGAAGTTGTTGACCTTAGTAGCAAACTGCGAAAGCGTGAAGAATCAGCCCTGCAGAAAGCCAAGGAAGTCGAGCAGACCTTTGCAAAACTCGAAAAAGAGAGGCAGCAGATGAAATCCGACATTGAAAGCTCCCTGCGCCGGGAATGGGAGGTGAAAGCCAGACTAGAAATCGATCGTCAGGTGCAGAACGAACTTGACAGACTTCGTAAGAGGTTTGAGACTGAAGTTCAAGATAGGGTGGCGATTGAACTAGAGAAACAGAAGAAAAGCCACAACGTCAGAGATGATGCTGGCCTACGCTCAAGCGCTTACGGCCCTCGGTCGTCTACCAATAATGCAGACGACACGGACCTTCCTTCCACCACTGATATCAGTCAGTTGTCAATGGAGTCACCAGCGAACAAGCCGTTAAGACGAGAGACTCGCACTCCTTTCAATCGTTCAAAGACAGTCGTTGAGTCGCCCGTCGATGTTCAGATGGCTGAGCCATCTCCCATTTCAATCGCATCACTTTCCTTGTCCCCCCGTCGTACCTCTGCCACGTCTTCTGGTAAGAACATCTTCGCAGAAGCAGAGAGACAGCGGGCCAAATGGGAGCCTACTCTAGCGTACTCCGATGACGAAGACGACACCCCTGATCTGCCTTCACCTACTAGACCTAAAGTCAAGCCCGACCCTTTTAAGGCTCCGTCTCGCCCCCTCCTTCGTCAGAACACAGCCGCACTAATGCAGAAACTGAGCACGCAACCTCCACTTTTCCCCAGCAACCCTTCAAGGCTACCGCAAGCATCAGGGTCCGGTCAATCAGACGTCCGTCACGGAGAGCCCAAAGCCAGATCTCCCCACCGACGTCTGTCGAAAATCCCATCATCGGCAAACTTGGCTGCTGATGCAGGATCGCCGACTCGCAAGTCTGGCTTAAAACAGCATCCTACGAAGGTTAACGGTGGTGGAGAGGAGATGTTCAAAGCCGTCATGCAGCGCAATATGGGCGGTAGAACACTGGTCGAACTTGCCCAAGCCCGGGCTGGTGGCCGCCCTGTTGAAGATCTCAAGCGATGTGCTAGTGACTCCCGCACTTCGAATTGCTCTTCTGGCCTCAAATCTTCAGATCGCGATCCGCCAGCAGTGTGGGACCCTGAAAAGGACGAAATGCCGAGCCCCTTCCTTGCGCGCGGTCGTAAGGTTATTCGTAACTTGCGGTAAAGCCCACCGCTACTTGTTTGGCTTCTTGGGCCCCAAAGGCAACATTTCACTTCTTCGAAATTAGTCGATTTTGGTTTTCGCAGGTTGATCCGTGAAAACATCCGCATCTACATAAGACACCTCTCGGTTCTTATACGCTTTAATACTTGCAACACTTCTGGAGTTATGGTTGGATCATGTGCATTCTGAGGCACGAACTTGACCGTGCAGAAAATTAAGGCCTTCGTGCATTTCTCCTGGTGCATCTTATCGCGCACACTACTCTCCAACCGATCCATTCTTTCCTTTGTCGTTTACGCCGTGATGTCCTTGTTTCTTTGGTTTTCTTTCCTATTATTTGGGATACTGTACAGATATTTGCATTCGCCAGCCGGCTTTTGGTTTCCGCATTGATTTGGTGCCCTTGGGTCTGGAGATCTCTTGCACTCATCTCGAAGACTTGGATTCTTGTTCTTAGACAGCTTCACAGTCCTCAGAGACATGCCAACTTCTGCCACTCTTTTGGGACTGTACATCATTTTCCTTTTGTCTCTACTTTCTAGGTGTTTGAGGGGTGGCACATTGCCTGAAGGCTTGCTGGGATTAAAGGCGTATTCATGGGAAGGGTTGTGTGTACATACAGATTTTGTTATCTCTTTTGAGGAGCTCTGCCACAGAGCGGAATACCTAACTCAGATTATTTTTTCCAAATGTGCTAGGTCCGCGATAGAGCCTGCTATTTTCCGGTATCAGTTGAGCATCGTGAAGTACTGGATATCATTATTATACACTGTCATACATCTCATGCATCCTCATCTTCAACGTCCTCGATCTGTACGGATCTGAGTTCCTGGTTGAATCGTTTCTCCTCTTCGACTAGCTGCTGGTGAGCGTCATCATCAGGTTTGTCAGAGCCCACTCGTTCCACAGCTTCCGAAGGACCAGCATTGTAACCCGCTTTCTCCAGTCGATCCATTTCTTCCGGCTCCAGTAGCTTCCCTTGCCCTCGAATGGCCTCCTGTTTAACCCTAACAGCAGCTGGAACAAATTTCTTAACCGCCTCTTGTCGCAGATCCTTGATCTCTGGCTTCGCTTCATAAACAGTTCGGGATTCAACCACAGGTGGTTTCGCTGGCAAACCATGTGGTCCCCGAGGACCTGCATCTGCATCCCCCTCTCTCCTCTTTTGATACTGGCGAGGAACTGGCGGTGGCGTATCCCGCGGCATAGGAATTCGCCGAACTTCCTCATCCGTCTCACTACTCTCACTATCCTGTCCGAATTGGCTGCGGTCATCCCTCCTCCTCTTCCCTAATACACCGTCACCGCGACCTCTGCCACCAAAGCCACCCCGCCTCGACTGATAATTATCGAATTTCGGTGCCTTGTCACCTAGTGCTTCCCGGGCCTTCTGCACAGCACGTAAATCCCGCTCCAACGCCTCCAAGACCTCCTTATCACGCGGCCGTAGTTGTTGGCCGGACTCTTCTACCGCTTTGAGGTCATTGATCTGTCGCTGGATGCGCTCGGGGTTGCGACGAGCGAGTTTCTCATTCTGGCGAGCCTGCGCCTCAGATTTGGCCTTTTTCAAGCTTTTCTGTTTGTCTGCTTTCCGCTGCGCTTGTACCGGGTTGAAACTGCGTTCCTTGGGCATTTTCGTGAAGCTTTTTTATTTTATTAGAATGCTCTGTTTTAATTGTGATGAGATGGAACAAATAGATCGCGGTGGACTAGGCGCGTGAATGGGACATTAATTTTATCGAACTATTGAAGCTCCACCTTTGTCAGACATGTAATGTAAGCTCTCATAGTTCCTCGTTTTCTTGGCAAAAGAAAGGATTCGAGGTGGCACAGCTCCGGGGAACGACAGAAACAGCGGCAGCGAACCACGGTGGAGCTGACGAGGGAGGGGAGAACTCACCAGCCGATGAGGTATCCAGCAAGATAGGTGAAAGACAAGAGTCGCAGGACTAGGCCTGTGCCGGACGCGGATCTACCAACCCAATCACGGATCAAAGACAGCAGTCGCAGGGCTCTAGCCTCACGAGTTGGGCAGCGGGTTTTAGGTACGGAGTTCGTTTCGGTTCTGGTGATCAGAGGCGACGGTGATTGATCGATTGGCGTTTGCAGAGGCGGTTGGCTGATTGCGCTATTGGCAGCGTGGGTTGCCGGGTTTGTTGGGGACGTTCCGGGATGAGATCGCGGTGAAGAGAGGAAGGGAACCTCTGAGTCTTGGAGAGAGGCGATTCGTATAGGATAATTGCTTGGAGGTGGGAGCTGCTGTTGGTTTGCGGAGGAGAGGGAGCTGAATGAATGGTTGGAGGACGTCGGAAGGCGGAACCATCGTTAGTAGTGGATTTCTTCTGTAAAGGTAAATTCCTCAGTGACCGTACACTGGTATGCTTCTTTTTCCTTCTTCCCCCCCTTTTTTTTTCACTCTCGCAGGTGAGATAGTTAAATCAATATATTACAAAAATCCTAAATCATGGTTTCAGCCCTTGTGCGACAGTATTCAATCGTGATTTAAGTCTTTCTTCGAATTCCGTTCTATATAATGTACACCAAACTCCGATCTATATCACCAGAATAACTCATACCGGGTGTCAAAGAAAGGGACAAGATCTAGAAATCGGTCATATTCAACATTGGATCATTTTGGGCATCATTTTCCAGTATATTTATTTCTTTTGTTCTCTTCTGGGGCGTGGCTTCTGGCCGTTTGTTGTGTACTCCCAGGGTCTGCCTCAGGTACTCTCCGGCCATACAATATATACTTGCTACATACAGTCTTCCTCCTCCCACCTCCGTCTCTTCAACTCTCCGAAGCATTTCTAATCACACTCTTAGCTTCACCAGTGTTCGTGCTAGTTTCTCCAAGGTAGACCAATTCCTATCGTCCCCGGGCGTCCGTCAGCGTGTAACCTGCGACCGATTCACGAGGAGAGCCGCTGCGGTCGTTTTTCTTTTTCTTGCCGCCGATAATCCGTTTCCTCAATCGGCCTTCGTCTCCCACCATCATCCCTCTTTCGTTTCCCCTCCTCTTCGGTCTCCTCCCCTCTAATTTCCCCCAATGACAACTTAGGTCTGTTGGTGAGGAGGCGATTTTTCTTGAGTTACTTCCAGAGGGGTGAGTGCGTGAATGCGAGAGCGAGCAGGAGAGAAGAACGAATCATCGAGCGAAGCCGATTCAGTCCCTTACTCTCCTTCCCACTCTCCGTCCTAATTCCTCCTGACATTCGCTCCGGCCAACCATCATGAAATTCGGTCCATCCCATCTCCACACATTGAGAACGACCGGCGCTTCCTAGACTCTTGTCGCGGTAAGAGCATGTCTCTGCCGGGACCAAATGTCCGTAACAGCCTCGATTCCCGACACCTCGCTTGGCCTTACCTCCTCCGAGATCCAGATCCTCCGACAACAGCAACAGATTGCGCTTCAGGGTGGCCATGCCGCCAACGGGGTTTCCAGGGGCAGAGGAACTGGTCGAAGCAGCAATTCAAGTTCGCGTGCGGCCAGTGCTGCCAGCAGTCATGGCCGATTGTTGCTGGACCCGATGAGTCTGCGAGCGCTATCCCATCAGCTGGATGCGCTACAGGGGCAGATTCGGAGTCGCATCGACTATGTATGTTAATATTTTCTTCTGGATTCCTATTATGCCCGCCCGATAAATCACCCTCCCTTCTTCGTTTCCTAAAACTCTCTCATAAGCATTTTGCGCATGTTTTCCTATGTCATGATTTCGGCTCCCGGTTGGGACTGTCCAGACGATGTTCCACAAGCCGGTCATCCTTGCATATCATCTTATCACCTGTTCTAACATTCTGCAGCTGGAGGAACAAATGCAGCTCTCTATTCAAAACACCTACGACCGTGCAGGAAATGTTATCCACAATGCCGATGCCGAGATTGCTCGTACGCGTTCGATTCTAGCCTCAATTGATGAGCTGGAAACCGAGATGGCGAAGATTGGACATATCCGGGAGATTGTGAAAGCCTACCGCGCCCGAATTGAGGGCCTTGACCAGCGCCTCGATCAAGCTGCCCGTAGGAGACGATGATCCTCGCTGTGGACAATCTATCTTCAACCATGATCCCCGACCGCATATACTTGGATGACGTTCACCGCTCTATACCTTGAAACCTACCCCATTCACATATTGCCTTATACGACCTTTCACCCCGGAGGCTCATGTACTGGAATCTGGCGACATTGACCCGACTACCAGACGACCTCTTTGTCCGCTTTTCATGCTTTAGGATGATTATGACCGAACGCTCGAGACGATAAATGCAAGCACGACCTAACTTAAGTCATGAAAGAGAAATAAAGGAAGTATCTGTTTCCTTGGCAAAAAATAAAAAAAAAAAAAAAGGAGAAGAAAGCTCCATGTTTATATACCACTCTGTCCTCGCGGACCCTGTGCTATTATGATCTGTGCCGTTATTGCAGCGTTCTTTGCCCCCTTCACCAGCTACAGCGACAGTTAACCCGCAGACGTGAATTTTTCTTTGTCTCCTGTGCTCTGCCCTTTTCTTTCTTACACGTCTCGTTTCGTTTCCTTATTTCCCCTTTTTTGTTTGGGACAGGATAGTTGCTTAAAGATGGGATATTTGCCTCGCGGCAACCTTTGGACCTTTGGAGGTATCATGAACCGAGATTCGACAGGAAACAACATGGTGTTTTTAGCGAAGGAGTTCCCTCGTTGGTACCATTTTCTTTGTTCTATATTTAAATTCCTTGGACGGGCTGTTTACATGTCACGAGAACCACGCCTCTCACCTTTTGAAGTTGGATTTGTCGTCTACTATTTGGCGTCTCGATTCCCCAATATGCATTGTTCTCTTTACGTGTCTTTATGAGTGGACGTTTGATCTATGACCATGTTGAATAAACCCACGGCTGATCATGCCCTGCCACACTGATGGCTTATGTACAAATGTAATGAATGAGGCCGGTTGCGTCAAGCCACTTCTCTATCCGAGATTATACATTTGTAGGCTCACAAATTCACCTGTAGAATACCTGGAACCATCTCCGATTGCTCTATATCGACGAATCCTGTTTTTCATCCTGGATAGCATGTGGACCGACCAGAGTTGCACGTGAAGGCTCGGAGCCCTGCGAAGGGGCCATGGGCGTTTCCGTCGACAACCGCAAATTACCTGCAGGGTTCTTCGCAGCCTTTCCGATCAACAACCACAACCCACCCTTTAGTTTCTATAGCCCGCGGTATCTCACATCCCGCCTTTAGCTTTATTGGACGACTCATACACTTAGCGCCCTGCCGTGGCAACTGATCAAAACGAATGGATAGTTGCTTCTGAACCCGGACAGGTATTAATCAATGGAACGGTTGCATGAGGTCCAGCCTGGTTTCCTTTCAAGGCGCCATTCGACATTGGACACATGATGATTACCGGGAATCGATAGGGTTTGATGTATATACCATACTCCCTAAGGTATTCCTTCTTGGTACACTTTGATGTGGTACTCCACGTTGTTGCGATATGACAAAGAAATACAGAAAGAGCAAAATCATGGGACTGGCGCTTCTTCCTTTTCCTGTTCACCTTGCTTTCGACGCTCAGAAAGCTTCTTCGTTCGCCTATCTGTTTGAGGAAAACGCTTCTCCGTTCCACAGGTAGTACAACGGATGACCCGGATGTCGGCCCATGGCTTTTTGGAATGACGACTCTCGTTTCTGATTTCTTGTATGCAACTGACACCTGGCGACAGAAGTGTATCGCAGCGTTTGCAAAATGACCTTTTCTTCTCGACTGGAAGTCGCAACTGTGTTTTTAGAGATATTCCACGCATCTGCGATATAAATACGCGGGAGAGTTGCGGGAGACGGTCTGCATTTGCGTTGGTGTCCGTGCCAGTTGACTTTCGCCCAGAAGTAGTATCATGGCTCAAAAAATGCGGCACAATACGTGCTGAAGCTGACACTGGCTCGCCATCTTGACTGGTAGCATTTTGAACGAGCTGGCTACTAGGTTGCTTGGAGGCAACACTAGCAGATTGTAAATAGATAGCGGCATTATGGAGATAGTCTAATCGTGCACGAATGTGACTCTGAGCCCCCCCAGACGAGCCTTTTTTCCCCTTTACCTTCGCCATTCAAGAAGAGAAACCCTTTAGACTGTTTGAAATAACAACACATAAAGCAAGATAAAGCAAGATAAAGAATAATGAAGCTTTCAGTGGCAATCGGACGCTAAACTTGAAATAGCAACCTTTCAGGCAAGAGTGACTAATGACATGCATCACGTGATGCGGTCTTTCTGTCCTCAGCCTCATCCCTCGCGACCTCAACCTTCTCTCCATCTCCATCACTTTCCCTTACATTTCAACCAAGACCCGCTTTTCAATTCATCCCAGAAGGATCGGAAAGGGGCATTACGTTGTGTTTACGATTGATTCACTGTATTTGTTTTAGCTTTCACCACCACCACTCACCCATACCGTAAATCCCCCAGCTCCGCTGTCTTGGGGAAGAACGCGACCTCGCGACAACTAGAGTTTTTTTTCAGCACTTTTCGTTCCGTTACTATCCGACAAAATGTCTCACGAGGAGGATCTCATTGACTACTCCGATGAGGAGCTTCAGACCACTGATGCCGCAGCTACCACTGCTGCTCCCGCCGCAAATGGCGACTCCGCCAAAACGGGCGACCTTACGGTTTCTGGTGGCCGTACGGACAAGAAGGGAAGCTACGTCGGTATTCACTCGACCGGTTTCCGCGACTTTTTGCTGAAGGGAGAACTTCTACGTGCCATCACCGATTGCGGTTTCGAACATCCATCGGAGGGTTAGTTGATAACATTCTTTCCCACAAGCTCCCTCCATTGCTCTATGTTCCAACGTCCGTCCATCTCCGCGGGAGTCCATAGTCGCTTTTTGGCCACCTATCTCGTCCGAGCCTGAGGGCGGCATGAGGATGTTTGCTTGGGTTATTACACACAAGACACTGTGGTGGTAGTAGTGCTTTAACAGTTACTACCCGCTGCTTATACATCAGCGAATTACGGTGAGACTGGATTCGCGAATCATCCAGGTAATTGCGTTTTCAGCAAGAATGGGTGATTTGCGAAAAATGCTATTCGAAAGTCAGGGCGCTTTTGCCACCATATCTTGGACGGCAGGCGTTCTCGTGCCGTCTGCAGGGCACTCTCGACAGAGATATTATCCTGCAGTTGAATAGATGCCCGACTAGTGTTTTCATTAGTAGTTGATTTGAAACGAAAGTTGACATCACTTGCCTGCCTTTTTCGACGACTCGGGGGATGGACGGACTTGCGACGCGGATTGCTTTCTTTTTTCCAAAGTCTTATGGATCGAATACAAGTCTAACATACCGTTCCGCCTCACTATAGTCCAGCAAGTTTGCATTCCGACCGCCATTCTCAATGTCGATGTTCTTTGCCAGGCAAAGTCTGGTCTCGGAAAAACCGCCGTCTTCGTCTTGACCACCCTTCACCAGCTGGAGCCTGTCCCCGGAGAGTGCTCTGTCTTGGTTATGTGCCACACCCGTGAGTTGGCCTACCAGATTAAGAACGAATATGCTCGTTTCAGCAAGTACCTTCCCGACGTGAAGACTGCCGTCTTCTACGGAGGTACGCCCATTCAGAAGGACGTCGAAGTGCTATCCAACAAAGAATCATACCCCAACATTGTCGTCGGTACTCCTGGTCGACTGAACGCCCTTGTTCGCGAGAAGAAGCTTTCTTTGCGTAATGTCAAGGCATTTGTTCTTGACGAGTGTGACAAGATGCTCGACCAGATCGGTGAGTGAAAGCATCGATGTATTGATATAGACTCAGTGACTCACACCCTTGCCTAGACATGCGCCGCGATGTTCAGGAGATCTTCCGTGCTACCCCCGCCGACAAGCAAGTTATGATGTTCAGCGCCACTCTCTCCCAGGAGATCAGACCCGTTTGCAAGAAGTTCATGAGGAACCCGCTTGAAGTTTACGTGGACGACGACACCAAACTCACCCTCCACGGTCTGCAGCAATACTACATCAAGCTTAGCGAAGCGGAAAAGAACCGGAAACTGAACGAACTCCTGGATAGCCTTGAGTTCAACCAGGTGATTATCTTCGTCAAGAGCACACTCCGTGCAAATGAGCTGGACAAGCTCTTGCGCGAGTGTAACTTCCCGAGTATCGCGGTCCACTCTGGTGTGAGCCAGGAGGAGCGGTAAGTTTGTCGTATTGCGTAAACAATACAATTCTGTTGCTAACGGCGTATTAGTATCAAACGCTACAAGGAATTCAAGGAGTTCAACAAGCGTATCTGTGTTGCTACTGATGTCTTTGGACGTGGTATCGATATTGAGCGTATCAACCTTGCTATCAACTACGACTTGCCTGCGGACGCCGACTCTTACCTGCACCGTGTTGGTCGTGCCGGTCGTTTTGGTACCAAGGGTCTCTCGATCTCGTTCGTTAGCAACGAGGAGGACGAGAAGGTCCTCAAGGATATTGAGAAGCGTTTCGAAGTTGCTCTTCCGTACGTGACCCGTCTTCCCTTTCTACCCTCATCTTTTGCACCGGGAACTAATGGCATCTATACAGTGAATACCCCGAGGGTGGCGTTGACTCCAGCACGTACATGGCATAAATGGCCGGACTGTCAATACACCGTGCCTGGTGCGATTCGATATTTTGTCATTTTCTAACTTGATTCCTTTTTCTTTACTTGTTTGATCTTTTGGCGCGATGGTTCGGTTGTGATTTTGTTTCCGTCAAGTGTCTTTTGCTGCTTCTCCATGAGGCACTGGTCGGCAGGATGGGAAAGGGTGGGGGAAAAGCATACTCAGTCATGTTTAATCACTAGGAGCCTTAGATGACATTTAGGGTGGTGCCAGTGCCTCTGCTAGGGCGTCAACTGTATTATCTATAAATCTCAAATGCTGTTGTTTCCCGGGTCAACTCAATTGCGGGGTGTTATCTACGTAGCTGTACGTTACTTGTGCGGGCGCTACCCGGAGGCGCCAGCAGTAATAATATAGGTCATTAAGTAATGTAAGGACGACCAGTATTGCGGGTGACCCCGGAAGGGTGTCAGAAGCTGAGCTTGGTTGAGAGTGGGATCGGCAGATAGCAAAACAAGGCAGAGACCGACTAAGCTTGAAGCAGTTGATGGCCACCGTCTGGTCCCTGCTCGCCGAAAAGCACCTTGATTTCTGTTCCATGGAGATCATGTCAATCCAATACCCTTTACCCCTCCAGTCCCGTCGTTTGCGGGTTAATTTGCTCATCGCTGGTGAACGGTTTCCTTGATCCAGGTTGATCAAAGTGTAACCGAGATGTATATCTTGACTTCCGCCCAGCGAATCCGGCCAACCGCCAAGACCCCGATCAACTCAGAAAGAAAAGGGAAAAGAATGCATCATCTGATAGACACGGATAGACAGTTGATAGTCATTGATTGACAATTGATGGACGTTCCCATCAATCAATCAGTCAATGCCATTCTCCCACCTGACGGAACCAGGTTGCCCACGCGTACCACTTTCATGATAGTGGAGTCAACCTTCATTTCGCCCGCAGAAGTAGCGTCGTGCCGAGTGGCGGTGCTACGCCGATACCTTACCTTCTAGTCTTACGATATACGCGGAAGCGAGACTCCACGATTCGACTAAGCTTTGCTGAACGCCATTGACGATCATTGTGTGCCACGGCTTTTTGGGGCTTGCGGGGGAAATCAGAGACAAATTCCTATCATTGCGACGGGATGATTTCGTGCTATGACGTATGGGGGGCACGTTTGGATTTGTGACAAAGTAAGAGAGAATTGGATTGGAGTGGTTTTGGACTTGAGTTAATTTTTTTTTTTTTTTTTTTTTTTACCTTACTTTTTTTTTTTTTTTTTTTTTTTTTTTTTTTTTTTGGTATGACAGGTCGAAAGCGGATGTATTGCTGCGTATAGGATGATGGAGACATCAGAAATTATTAAATTCAAATCTCGGGTTGCGGCTGAGGTTTGCACAAATTTTTTTTCTTCTTCTTGTTGGAGTGGGGTTATCTTTTCTTCTTTTCATATTTTTCTCATCCTAGTGTCATGACTCGGGTTGCTTTCTCTCCTTCCCTCTTCCTGCTCTGACTCGGTGGGAATGGTTGCTTTCAGCGCTGATTAAGCGTTATCTCCTCCTTTTACTTTTACTCTTCCTCTGGTCTGTACCTGATTTGATGCATGTTGGGACTAACCCCAAAGCAGCATCTCTTCCCGCCGCTTTTTGAGGATCTTTGCATCGGCACGACTTTGTGGCTTGACTCGATTTCGCCCGCTCACTAGTAGTAGTAGTAGTCACGGGTAGCAGAAGAAGCCTAAGACACGGCGTTGACTGTGTAACCGTCATCTGTGTCGCGTCTTACGTGCATGGGCTTGTTGCATACGGATGTAACCAAAAGTCTAGCTGTCCTTCTTTTTCTTTTTTATTTTATTTTATTTTATCCAACGGAAGTACTACTGTCTCTAGTCGACAGTACCTTGTTCCTCGTCTTGTTTGACTGGGAGAAAATTAGGCAGTCTTGGGAGCCATGAAATCGATCGATCGGCTGCGGATTGATGTGGGGCTGGACAATGCTTACCCAGTCTACGCGACCAGAAGTTCGTCGCAGATATCCCACTGCTGAGGTGGCCTACTACGTACGCCGTACGGAAGTCTCCCTCTCTGGCCTGGGGAAGCGATGAACTGTAGGATAGAAAGGGGATGTTGAAGCCGGTGGCGGTCGGTAACGTTGGAGTTCGCCGAACGCAGATATGGCGGGACCCATTCCGCCGTCACCTTGTGAATTGCATAAAACTGACTTATACGAGCCGGGGTTTATGCATCGTCCCTGTCTCCTTTCAGTGACAGGTTTCTGGAAGATATGCGGCGCTGCAACCATCATATCATGTCTGCCGCAACCGGACATTCTTCAGCTCTCGATACTTTCCCTTTTTCTATGAACAAGGGCAATGTCGAGAGGGGACTTCAGGAAATCTCTCCCGCTATTATTGGAAGATTCGATATGTACCTGACCCACTGGCCGGTACCATAGATAGAAACAGGAACTAAAGGGAGTGGGATGTGATTTGTTCTGCTGGGCAACTAGAGTACACGCTAGATTCCGCCAAGATTGGAGACCCACGGCCGATGTTTTGAACAATCGGCGTGATCGGCGTCTCCAAAGGTCTGGACCATAGTTTCCGAGTTGTTTTGGATTTTTTTACCCTCTTCGCTTGTTTGCTGCTTTGCTCTTTGTTCGTGGGTTGTATGATGATGAGGTCATGGATTACGTACAGGACTATCCTGGACGTTGAGAGTCGGGGGGCTGACAGGGGACAACAAGACTTCTGTCAGGTGCCTGGAGAATGTTCAGATTGGAAATGATAAATACCAAGCGACTTGGCCTTACACCACTGGAATCCTCCGCACATTCATCGGACCTCCAATGGGAATCGCAACGACCCGACTTATGTAAGTTGCCTGGATTGATTATTAACCAGGTGACTCCCCCATCCTCCACCACTGTTTCAATTTTTCCCAAACCTAGCAAAAGCCCCCCAATGCAAAAGATCCGAAACGAGCGCTTTAGGTTATTTCCCTGGGTTCCGTTCGGTCGTCTCCCCCGTCGTTGCCTCACTTCAAACAATGGCCTTTGATCGCCAAACAATACCCGACCACATGGAGAGTTTCCATGCGCTCGTTTCCATTCTGAAGTTTATCTAGAAGTCTTCTCGGTACAGTACCTGGCAGGATGTAACCTGCATCCATGCACTGCAGCCCGTAAATAGCAAGACCATGAAGAGTGGTCTAGGCTAGAAGTAGTTACTTGAATGATGGGTTGTCACTGCATGCGGCCTTTACCTGATGGGTTACTATTGACCTTAGTAATCGGACCCTGGAATTGTCGATCGATCCCTGCTCCGGAGGTGAGCTTGTTGGTATGCCGAGAGGAGTCAACACCGCCTCCCCCTTCCCGAAGGTGTAATGTCCGATCTGGGACGGGATATCCCTTCCCATGGTTGACGATTAAGATTAGGTTAGAGTACTTGACGAAGAGGAGTTAGCTTGCGGTGTACCCCTCTGATGGAGAAGTTGGATCACCAAAACGCTGTAAAAAAAAAAAGAAAATAAGGAAAGAAACGGTGTACAGTGATAACCATACTGCCCATGAGACACACGGGATCTATCATGCTGAAATTTTGTCACACGCAGCACCGGCTTCATGGGCATGGGCTGTCTCTTGTGAGGGGCTTTTGACTGGGTAGCTTGATCCTGGAGGGTAAAACTTCCGGCGTCTGTGGCTTCTTGGTTCAATGATTCAGTTCAACCATCCGGAAGGATTGTTGCTGGTTGGCACAACCGAAGCTGACGGTCCCGAGTATACTGTGTATTCTAGGGGAATGAACAGATGGGAAGTAACAGATGGAGATGGAGGAATGAGTTTATATTATATCTACTCCGTACAGAGGACAATGTCTTAGAACGAGGTGGATATCGAGGGATGAACGACTCCGTTAGTTCCTTCTGTTCGTATCTTTCCTCTGGGTTGCACCTTAGGGTGATTCTAGCTCGTTACTAGAATCAGGTTAGTTATCAGCGCTATCGTGGACTAAGCGCAAGAAGTACCTGGTGCTGGGAAAGCACATCCATAACCTAGTTCCGACTAGTCGATGAGGTTCTCCATCGCTTCGCGAGAGGCCAATCCGATGTCGCCGGGGCCAATTTCAAGCGGTGATATCCCGGTTTTCTGATTTCGACCATCCAACAAACCAAGTGGGCTCGAGTGGGGATCCTCGACGGGAGGATGTGCAGCTGTGGTCGATTGGGTGATTACTGCATCATGGTTGGCTCGAGTGGGTGGTGTCGTGTCTCATGAATCATCCACTCTCATAATTTCTCTGTTTTCGATTTTTCCTTTCGGTCTTTATTAAGGTGATGACGCTGGTGGTGATGTCGCTCCGTCCTCTAGTGAGGTGTACTACTAGTAGTTATCTCTCTGTCTAGCACTAAGTAATATTGAAATTGTGGGTATAGATTTAAGCAGAATGCAATCGAAAGAAAAAAAGAAAGAGAAAAATCGTCGACAATTATTGATTGATTTCTATTATTATGTACATAATATAATATATTTGTTTATAGCGTGAGTGGTGTTTAATTAGGTAAGGATTAAGAGGAACTGGAACCCAGAAAAAGAACAGGGGAGTCGCCATAGTCATTGTTGGGGAGTAGCCATGGTCCTCAGAATTCATCGTCCCCGTTTCGCCTCCTAAATAAGATTAAAAATAAACGGACGAAGGAAAGTATGAATTTTTTCTTTTTCTTTTTCTTTTTTTTTTTTTCTTTTTCTTTTCTTTTTCGAACTTATCTTTCCCATTTCCGATACTAACGGAATTAATAGAAGAATTGACTTCGGTGTGTGTGTACGGGAATCAGCATTTTTTGAGTTTTATTTTAATTGTGTTTTATTATTTTATTATTTTGCTATTTCCTTATCATTCATTCCTCAAATCTATTTTATTTTTATTTTTATTTTTGTTTCTTTCATAGTACGGAAACTGTTTTCGCTATTCTCCCCCTCTCCGTTGACAGTCATTTCGTCTCCCCTGCACTCCGTTTCCGGTTCGAGCCCTGGCGGGGGATCCACGACCGTTAAGGTCTGGTCATTGTAAAGAAAACTAAGAGTAAAAAAAATTAGAAGGAAAATACGAAAAGAGAGTAAGGAAAAAAAAAAAAAAAAAGAGATAACTTTACAGATTCTGCTCCATAGGCTTACTTTCGGGCTGCCTTTCCGCCCAAAGCTGGCACATCTGCTTTCCAGCAACTCTCCATCGACTTCTACTACTACTTACTACTCCTACTATTCTCCATCCGTCTCCTCTCGCGTCTTCCTCTTTTTCCCTTTTCCCTTCCCTCATCCCCTTTCACTATACTGTCTTGTCTTTCTCTCCTTCTCTCCCTACGATTAATTCCTCCTTTCGTTTGGTCCCTTTCCTCAATCCCTTTGCCCATTTTTAATCGTCCTGTGTGACTCCCCTTACTTTCGTTTTCTTTGGTCCTTTTCATAATCCGTTGTTTTAATCATCGCGAAATCGCCCTGGCTTCGGTCGTGATATTGCGTTCGTCCATCCCGTGGTAGGCAGCGTCAATCGCGCCTCCAGTCGTTGTTCTGGAGTTTCGTCTACCAGTTACACTCCATCGCCTTTTCTTCGACGTGGACCAGCGGGAGCTTCCTTCCATTTTTGATCGCTAATTATGGCTCCTCCGCCGCGCTTGCGCATTTTATCAGGTTTGTACTCGCTCTGACCCGGCAAGACCGTTCCAATTTGCTTTTTTGACGCCAAATTTCCTGTCGTTCCCTAAATCGGCCCTTATTGCAACCCAAATCAGCTTCCAAAGTACCCAGGATGGGCCGTCATCTAACTAGACTCTGTTTAGTCGGCAGCAATGCTATCTCGGCCTTCCTCTCGTGGAGACTTCAGGCGACGACCTCCTGCGATGTGACACTAGTGTGGAAATCGGGCTACGAGGCAGTATCTCAATATGGAGTATCCTTCAAGTATGTCGCTCGTCAATTTTGATTCCTGGAGCGATTCGTTGATCAACGGTGATTTAGGTCGAAAGCTTTCGGCAATGAGCGCTTTAAGCCTCGCCATGGTGAGTCGGATCGTTGTTCCCCGCTACGTACGGTCTGTATCCTTTGTTCAGACACTAAATGTGAGTGCTTCTATACAGTTGTCCGCACACCCGAAGATGCCGCGTCTCGCGAGAATGCATTTGACTACGTCATTCTGTGCGTCAAGGCACTGCCAGATGTCTACGACCTGGCTTCAGTCATCGAGTCCGTCGTCACCCCTCAACATACGTGCATTCTCGTGAACACAACGAACACATTGGGAGTAGAATCGCACCTGGAGCAGCGGTTTCCGACAAACGTCGTCCTTTCGCTTGTGTCAGGGGTGGAGATCTCTCAGATTGGTGCCAGCGAGTTCGAGCATCTAAACTCATCCGAGATCTGGGTTGGTGCTACAAATAAGCAAACCAGCATTCCGTCCACGATTCAAAACGATATGGCCGCTGCGCTCGCGATGACACTGGCTTCTGGCCAAGTCGACTGTAAAGTATCAGAAAACATCAGACAAGAGCAATTCGATCGTATGATAGGGTGAGTCGCGAGAGAAGGCTACTTTTCCGACGGAGTCTGACTAACTGTGGTGCTACAGCCCTATTGCTTTCTACCCTACTAGTGTAATGTTTGAAACCTCCAACCACACACAACTTCTCGAGAAGGTCGGCGTACGCCAACTTGTCTCAGACATCATTGAGGAGCTCCTCGAGCTTGCGCGGGCAAACGGGTGCTCTTTTCCGAATGACTTCGCGAAGAAGACGATTGAAATGATGACCGCCAATGGTGCACCAAGTACGATGTATCAGGACTTCCAGGCCCGCCGTCCGATGGAAATAGAGACATATCTCGGATCTCCAATCAAATTGGCGACTGAATCAGGTGTCCGTATCCCTCGGATTGAGACCCTCTACGCAGTGCTTCACCATGTCAATGCCACGAATCTGAGTAAGCCCCGGACTAACGAATCTCCTCCACCTGTGCTGGCTCAACCGCCACCTCGGATGTCTTCGGCACCGCCGAGAGGACCGATGAATGGTCCTATGCGTGGAGGCAGGGCTCCTTCTGGGATGATGCCTAGACGTGGGCCCCCTCACCCGGGAATGTCAAGACCCCCGAGCGCACAGCCGCAAGCAGCCAGAATGCCTCCTCGTGATGCTTCATTGGAAGGTCTCGAGGAGTTCAGCCACCTCGTCATGTACGATGATGCTGCTTCGGCCGCAGCTGCTGCAGAGAATGGCGTACCACTTCAGAACGGCACGAACGGCTATTCGGATATGCCGCCCGGGCCTCCATCATCCGCAGCTGACTTGGCTTTAAGGGAACGAGAATTGGCGATCCGACAGCGTGAATTGCAGATCAGAGAACAGGAGATGGGTATGCGTCGAGGCCCTCGGCGACCACCTCCACCCCCGAGATCAACATTTGACGAAGAGGACGAGGATGACTATTTCGATCCCATGGACACTCTGCCGATTCCATCGATCGATCCGGACCAAGTGGACATGTTGAGTATCACATCGAGGCGGACGAAGAAGTCAGCCCTGAATGCCAGCCAGCTCCGTAAGAACCCGGAAATCACCTTAAATAATGGCGGCGGCGGCGGCGGCGGCAGCAGCAGGCCTGGGTCGTCCTTTAGCCGATACTTCGGGGGAAGAAAACGTACCAGCGATCGGATCATGCAGGAAATCCCTGGCCTTCACGATTCTCTCATGGACAATCCCATGATGGCGTACTCATCGAATCGATATGGAGCGGTCGACCGAAACCAAATGCAGGCAGGGTCGCGTGCTAATTCGCTGACGGCCAGTCGAATGGGTGACTATCCACCACATCCTTACCCAACCAGTAGGAGGAATAGCCAGTCTCCGGCGACTCCCCCCTACGGTCCGCCTGGCCCTCGAATGGGCCGACCAGGCACCTCCCAAGATCCAAGCCTAGGCCCACCGAACGGCCCTCGCGGCGGCCAACCTTCGCCGCCCGGACAAATGCGGGCACCAGTTCCCAGACATCCGCCTGGACAAGGTAATGCGGTAGGTCCGCAGCAAATTGAGCAACAATATGGGGTGAGCAACCCGTCTTTAGCCAAGGGCACTCCCAAGCATAGAAGTCTGACCGGAAGTGCGAGCGCCAGCGCGGAGAGTGGTGATAGTGGCGCCAGTGCGAATCTTGATTCGGAAACCTCAGCTCATAGCAGCCAAATCAGCTTGAATGCTCAGCAAGCTGCGACGCCCGTTCGTTGACCGACGCCGCCCGCCGTCCTCCGTCCCCCTTTCATAAAAGCTGAGCTTTAGAACCCTGTTCTATACGTCCTCATCTGGTTACTTCGCGTTCCATTCCTTTTCCCCCTCCCTTGGCTGGACAACGCGGGCCTGGGGGTCCCCTTTGGCTTTGTACAAGAATTTCTTCTAATAAGATGCTTGGCAAAGGGGGTGGGAGCGGACTCAAGACCTTATATTCTCGTTCAGTTCATTACATATACGCCGTGGGACATACGGGACATCTTCTCGTTTTGCACAACTGCTTTGGAGTGGTCGGGTGCGTGTTGCATGTGGTCATTTGCTTTCACTTTACTTTCCTTTTTCTTCGAGCACTCTATTTTAATGAAGGCGAGCACACAGCTCGATCCGACAAGTATGATTTGACTTCCTTGCAATTATACCACAAACATTCATCTCCAGTCACCCGCGACTATCTCATTTCCTTTTTCCTTTTCTTTTTTTCTCTTCCTGCATGAAAGAATGTTGTACACTACCTTGAGTGGGCGCCTCATTTCGTTGTATCTCCTACAGTATCATCTCCACTGTTTTGTGACATGCATGCCCTCCTTTGACACATTTCCTTTTTTTGTTTTTCTCATTTCCCTTGCCTCCTTTCCTCCCTTGCCCTCGGCCATTCTGTCTGCTTTTGTTATGGGCTCAGGTGTGGAACATCCTAGGAGCCCCGAAATCTCTACGTTCATGGTCTGGTTTCTGGCGCATAAAAAGAGCAGGAGTCTGATTTATTCGGTTGATTGAGTGATCTGAGTTGGCAGGGTTCGAGTTCTTGCAAGATATTGACGAGAGAGCTGAGCTGAGGTCTCGACACGGACGGCTATCATTCGATTAGAACCATGTCATTGACAATAAACGAGACTTGAAGTTCGCATGATACATAGATGGTGATCCTGCCATGTCACGACGAGAGTGTTTTGAATGACCAAACATTTGCATAACAGAGAGAAGAAGACTGCCTAATGTATAGTCGATTGTATGGTGTTGTATATCCACAACCAAAAATGATATAGATTAATTGTTCAGTTCATGATTGGGGGTTTGTTTCTGGTGCCTCCACGTGACCGACGTGGATTTAATCCCTAAAGCGACGCCCCACCGAGTGTAAACAAACTTGAGCCATTTTCACATCGTTCAGACCCCAACAGCCTTCGCGCACGAAGTTTACCAACGAACACATACAAGCATTCGGCGAACGAACTAAGATCTTGAGCAATCATGCCGCCTTCTCACCACTACAGCCAATCTCAAGCCCTCCCCCGCCACTCCATGCTCCCTCCGTCTTCGACCGCCACCGGTCCTTCATCGATGTCCGCCGCTAAGACTCGGCAGTATGCAAACCTGCAGGCTCAGTTGGAGCAGCTGAACGCCAACCTGGCTGACACGCAAAACCTGCTTCGTATGACTTCCGTGCAGGCAGAGGATATGCGGTTCTTGGGCGGTTATGTTGGAGCTTTATTTATGGGATCGGCCAAGGTGTTGGGAGAGGAGGGTGTCAAGGGTAATGCCGATAAGAAGGAGAGTGAATCGTGATCGACCAGTACTTTGGTTTAGTGGGATATATGTGTGAGTTTTCTCTTTTGATTATCGAACGTCATTTATCTCGTCCCCCCTCTATCTACATATCCATCCATCCGATTTCCACCTCTATTCTAACTGCTAATTGGTGTTTTGGATAAGTCATCCAACAAACAGAACACTGATAGATATCACGCCCATTAGTTCTCGACCACAAAACCTCCTCCGAGGATAATTGCCGGTTCCTCGATATTATGATGTTCGTAGCTGGGACGGTTAGCGCAGCTCGTGGCACCACGGCCGGACTCTCTCACCTCAGTGTGCCCACACCTCCAGCTTCCAGAATCAGCGCGGTCTCGGTCAACGGCTTCCCGGTCCAGCGCATGGCGAACGCCCGCAGGATATGGCCGTGTGCGACAATCAGGACGTCTCCTTGCTGGCTTTCGCTGTCGAAACAAGGACCGTGGAACTTCTTCCTGATATCGGCGATTAGGGCATCAAGACGGCGGACGACGTCTTCGGGGGATCTAGAGTCAGTCAGCAATGATGTACATACATAAATACATACATACAAAACAGCGATCATCCTCTCCCAACCATAAAAGAAATCTAAGAAAAGGGGGGAGGAAAAACAAAACTTACTCTCCACCAGGACATCCATCCCGCCAAATATCCCACGGCCCCTCCCCATTCTCCCTCCGCATCTCCCTAATCTGCTTACTCGTCAACCCCTCATAATCCCCATAATCCCACTCCCTCACAGCCTCCGTAATCTCCACCTTGGCCTCCGTCCGAATCGGCTCCTCATCCTCGGTCCTCCGCGCCTCATTCCAGGGTAATCTCTCCCGACACCCAATCTCCAGTAATTCCAGCGTCCGCTGCGCCCGCGCCCGCGGCGAGACATACCTGAACAACCCCATTAGCCCAGCAAACCAAATAAAAAGAGATACGGAAACGAGAAAGGAAAGGAAAGGAAAGGAAAAGAAAAAAACAAACACATGAACCAATTTCCGCGGCGCAATCAACCGATCATTGCCCACCAGTGCTTTGCCCGTCGCCTTGACCCGCTTCTCTCCGTTGGCTGTCAGCGCCAGATCAGTGGTGCCTGTGTGTCGGCCATTGAGGGACCATTCCGTTTCGCCGTGTCGGATTATGAAGCATCTTGGGGGCATTTTCTCTTTCTTTCTTTCTCTCTTTCCTTCCTTCCTTTCTTTCTTTGTTTGTTTTCAAGGGAGGGATGTTGGGATAAGGTGGGGTACTAGGTAGGGGGTATGTGACTTTTTATTGTAGGGATTGTATTAGGTTGTTGGAAGATAGATAGGGCTTTATAATGGTGGGGGTCATTGCGTCATGGGGGTTGATCAATTAGCTGGGTGGGGCGCGCTTTTGCTTGGTGTTGTTTTGGTAAGCATTTGTAGAGCTTTGTGTGGGTTTGTTTTTACTTTTATTTTTATGTAAGAAAGAGCAGATGGGGGTACTACTGCGTAGTAGCTGTATATTGTGTGTATGTTTGTACATTTTCTGTCTAAGGTCGAGATTTATTGATTGTCCTCGGGCTTTCTAGGATTGTGTTATCAAGGTGGATAGTTTTCTGGGGTGCTTGGTAAGACAGAAACAAGGTGTTTGGGGCGTTGAGTCTGCCATTACATAAAGGAGAAGCATTGGTTAGTATAAGTCTTCTGATTTGGATGTAGATTGTAGGTTTGTATATCAGTAAAGCATGCAGTTATGGATTTGATGATGCTGGATGGGATGTGGACAATTAATTGACGTAGCTAGCAATTATTAAAAAAAAAAAAAAAATCACAGATCAATTAAGATCCTTGTTCAACTCAAACTCATCCACACTCTTCAGTGCCCTCCTCGCCGTCTCCACAATCTGCCTCGAATCCTCCAGCCCAACGCTGATCCGAATAATATGCCTCGGCACCCCGTGCTTCGCAACTTTGTCTTGATTCCAGTAATTAGCTAGCTGGACATACGGGATGGCTAACGTGAAGTTCGTCCCGAAGCTGGGCCCCTTGCAGACGTTGAAAATGTTGTAGAAGTGCTCTGCTGTGCGCGGATCATGGAAGACAACGCTCAGAACGTTGCCGTAGCCGCCGTCCTTGCGCATCACGCTCTTGTACAGGGCTGATGTTGGCGCGATGGACGGGTGGTCTACTGCGGCGATGGCCGGGTGGGCTTTGAAGAGATCGACCAGTGGAAGCGTGTTCTGATTGCATTGTTTCACACGCCAGACGACGTTCTTGCTGTTCTGTCTGAGGGTGTTGACGTCTAGGGGGAAATAGGTGTCTCGGTTCTTGGATAGGGCGGCGTGGATTTGGTCGTGATGGCGGGAGTTGGGGTTTATTACAAGACTGAGTGAGAAGATTAGTTGGAGTTTGGTGACAATGTTGAACTGGTGTAGGTGCTATCTTACCCTCCACCGGTGACGTATGATGCTCCGCTAAATGTCTTCGTAAGACTGGACATCATCACGTCTACATAAGGCAGCGCATCGATGTTGACATAGCCGGCAACGGTGTCATCACAGGCGACAACGAAGCCGTATTTATATGCCAGTGCGCGAATTCGATGGAGATTTGGTGATGCCAAAGTGATGTTGCTGGGCAGTTCGCAGAATAATGCCCGGATCTGTTGGCCTGATTGCAGGAGGGCCTCCAACCGATCCAACTCTTCCTCCGTGCCGTATTTGTAGGAGAGGCATTCTGCCCATGTGCCTCGTCGAACGACGTCAACTGTCTGTGGGTATAGCCATCTATGAATTGTTTCGTTAGAATTGCTCGCGCCACAGTCCGTGAGAGATACTTACCCGTACATGGCAACCTTGTATTCTGGCGAAGCTAGAGCTTCCGATAGCGTGTATATAGCGTTCATACCGGTAGAGTATAGGAACACATCGTCAGGACTCACAGGTGGTTGTTCCGGTTGCTCAGACGTAGCAAGGCCTGCAAGGAATGATTTCACCTCTTGGGAGTTCCCAGCCGCAGCTCGCATCCATGTAAGAGACTCCGGAGTTTGGCTTCGGCATCTCTTCCGTGGAGCTGGGGTTCGGTATGCCGGAGTCGCAGAGTCGGAGTCAAGATAGCCGAGTTCTTCCAAACAGAATTCTGCGTGACGTGTTGATAACCCTGAACCGGTATCCCGCCAGAATGCCATTGCCGCATTCAACAGATCAGATGGGTATAAGACCGCAGTGAAGTTGGCCCAGTGGGCACTGGTGTCACCCATATTCGACTCCAGAGGCATGACAAACCGAACTACTTCGATTGCAAACGGATTCTCACAGGGCAATGTCTTGAGTACTGTGGCGCATTGTTGACCAGCAGCAGCAGACGAGAAGACCATGCAGGAGATTGTGATGTCGTTGATCTGGAGTCGGCGGAGAACTGCATCAGAAAGGTCGCGAATCGGCTTGTTTAGATAGAACCTTGATACCTTAGCTGACAACACTCCTATCTCGAGCGAGAACATGGGGCTTACCGAGGATAGTCCCATTCGAGTTGGTCAAGGAGCCATTTATCTTTTCGAGAAAGTGCAATCACTGAGTCCCATGTCGGCAGAGATACGCTAACGGCCTGGTTACAGTCAGTACCTGTCTATCAGGATGGACAGCGAGCTAACTTGCATGCGACTCCCCGAAGGGATAGATGTTGCCTTTACCAGGAGGGAATGCCTGTGGCGCATGAGGAGGCATCCAAGGCTCAAGAACAGGGCCGGTATCTCCCATGGTCAAGTACGTTCGGCTTCTCGGTGGTAGTAGCAGGGATTCAAGATCAACAGAGCAAGCCAGACGTCAGCTGTAGGCTCAATTGCAGTGAGAAAGTTGATGAACGACAGCACCGGGGATAGACCCGTCTCCGCTTAAATACATTCTACCTTACCGCCAGTCGTAAGCTCCCATGGCACGTCCCTCATCCTTGCCATTGTATCAACGAGAAATTGCAATCTGTAGCCAATAATAATTGATCCGATCGCGGGGGGCAATTGCTCATCAAGAAAGTCAGTCCAGATCTAGTACTGCGGTACCCTGTAGATCCTGACTCTGTCGGTTAGATACTGTACACACTTTTAGCTGGCTGGAAACCAGTATCCTCCTTTAAAATCTTGCTACAACGAATCACAGACTGCTGGAGGCGACAAGAGCACAGAATCTGCATGACGCAATATGTCATTCACCAATGCCGGATGGCATCTGGGCCACTCCTTGTACCTCACTGTTCTAAACGAAGTGCTCGGTTGCTGGGATTATCAGTTGTGGGGCCTCATGCAGCGCTCTCTCATGCAGATCGGAAGGAGGATATCTCCCTTCCAGCGCTATTCGTGCTACTCTACTCTGTAGCGAGGTTCAGTATGCCATGATTCTGGTCCTTCAGGACGGTACCATGGTCCATAACCAATGGATGTTAGGATCACCATATGGGCCAGGAGTCCAGGACATTAGCCACTTGATGACACTGAAGGTCCTCCTTCCACGAAACCCTGACGGTGGGAGCTGAATCACAAAAGCAAATTCATGCAGAAGGTATAATCATTAGGTAAATGCATTTGGAGTGTGCCAATCATTGTAGCCTTGTGGAGTGTCGGAAATATCACAATTCTGAGTTGACATGCAATGCATCTTTCTCGTCATGGTGGCTCACTGGAATTGGCTGGCTGATTGCAAGGGCCGATGCAAGCAAGATAAACATCAGATAGCGTCTTCTCGCTAACTTTAATCTGTTATTAAATTTAAGTGCTTTAGAGAGTCAACCTGATTGCGTGGACAAAGAGTGATGATATTCTGTTCACATCTATACTAACCTTTCTGTGAGAGTTCAAGCTCACCGCTTTTCTATATCACATTTCAGGTCACGGTCTTTTCCATAGTGATTCTGACAGTTTGCCATATTCCTTGCATAACTACAAAGTGACTACCATTCACCATGGAGGGTGGATAGAGAGATAGTTTTGGAGTAGTTAACTAACTAGGGAATTATGTCTCTATATCCACTTCCATCATCGACATGACTAATCCAACTTCTAAGCGAAGGTGATGTCTCTAGCCAATCATGTCCTGATAAGATATTCTGTAGGAACGTTGATCAAAAAAGTAAGACTATAACCACTGACGCTTGTGGTATACCAACTATTACCCAGCCTTTATTCAAAAGAGTGGTCCATGAGGCGAAAACCAACAAATCGCTGCGTCTTAAATTCCAAAAGTCTATTTGTTCTACCACAAAAAACAGCACACAATGAAAAATCATAGAAATAAAACCGTCAGAGACGTGACAAAGCTCTCTGGAAAACCCTTACCCGAGACGCTTGAGCCATCGTCTATTCTGCAAAACACACCCACCGAAGAATGGGTGACATCCAAAGACTTGATAGAGGATGGACTCACGTCCAGCCCGGAGGCTATGAAAGATCTAACTATATATCTCCTGGGGAACATTAACATAAACTCCACACATCTGTTCCGAGCAGATATTCTCTACGACAGCCAGGGTGTCTTGAGTACGCCCCAGCAGAAGGAACTGTCATTTGCGCAGACGGGGAACACCAGCGTGGAAGCTACTGCGGACGCTGAAGACTGCGTAGAACCCATCGCGGCGAAAGAAGTCGCCGGGTTCAACTTAACCAGAACGGTGGTCCGGAGGCTGATTCCCAGAAACCCGAAGCTGGATCGGCCGTTAGAGCAAACCTGTCACTTCTATGAAGCGGACATAGCCCCCGTCAGCGAGGGTGCTACTCAGCAATCCCGGTTAAGGCGCTTCCTGGCCGTCTATATGCCGCATGTAGTGTCGAAGGAGGACATTCCTTTCTATCATCCCCTGCTTCGCTCTTTGGCCTACCTGTATGACTTTACCGACGACGCCACAGAGTCTACAGAAGCTGGATCAGGCTCCGGAGCATTATCGCTGCACTTCTTACCGTACCCAGAAGAAGCAATCCCCAACCGCCTAGAACGGACTCTACACTCCCTACTGAATACTCAGATCCGACTCGCCCGCAACACACGCCCCTCGGAAACCTCCGAAGGAGGCAACTACAACCCCAGCAAAGACAACGTAATCCCACAGCATCTAGTCCAAAACACATACTCCCGCCTCAAATTCAAGTACGCTAAAGACCTCTGTAGAGACTGGGTCGAAGACACGGAACCAACAAAGCACGTCTTCGAGGACCTGGCAATAACAGCCTTCCTCATCGAGCTATGGCGAAGCATGTACGGAGCCGTCCCCGCCGAAGAGCGAAACGAAGACGGGACCGAAAAGTACGACCCGAACTTCCCCGGCTTCGTGGACGTTGCATGCGGGAACGGCGTGCTCGTGTACGTCCTCCTCATGGAAGGCTACCGGGGCTGGGGCTTTGACGCCCGTCGGCGCAAAACATGGAAGATTCTCCCCGAGTTCGTGCAGGCTCGACTCAAGGAGGAGATCTATATCCCGAAGCCTTTTACCGATGCGTTGGTGGAGGCGGGCGGAGTGCCTGATCTGGGCGTCGAGACGCATGCGGGCTTGTTTGAGAAGGATACATTCATTATTTCGAACCATGCTGATGAGTTGACGGTCTGGACTCCCCTTATGGCTACCCTTGCGTGTCCGGAGTCGCCGTTACCGTTTATTGCGATTCCTTGTTGCTCGCATGCGCTTTCAGGGGCGAAGTATCGGTATCCTCCGCCTAAGGTGTCGAAGTCTGACCCTGATAAGAACTCCTCACAACATGAAGACGTTGATTCTGACCAACCGGCAACGGGCGACTTGAAGGCTCTCCGCAAGGCGAAACAAGAGGCCCAAACAGATGTGGGCTTCAACAAATCCATGTACGGCTCCCTCACCATGAAGACAATAAGCGTTGCCGAGGAAATCGGATATGATGTAGAGAAGACGCTCCTTCGGATCCCTAGTACCCGCAACATGGGTGTAATAGGCGGCCGCAAGCGAGTGACGAAGGATTGGCGTGCGCGGAACCAACAACAGACTTCTGACTGCAACGGTGACGCAGTCATTGGGTCGGCTCTTGACAAAGCGATGGCAGCAGTTCAACGGGAATGCTCACGGGATGGGGGCGTGGAAGGCGCTGCTAATATATGGGCTGAGCGGGCCAAGGGCATTCACAAAGGACAGGGGGCGGGCAACCAGCGAGGACATTTAACTTAGTTTCTATATGATACTCAGGACACATCACACTTGGTCAATTTCCTTGCCACCATTCGGACTATATATCAGCCTCTGCGTTCCGTTTTCTATCAACGGGCGAATGCCATCGTCGCATAAGCGTGCAAGCTGTAACTATAACTGAGCAAGAAACGCTCGGTTGCTTGCGAAGCCCGAAGCCCGAACAAGACTTCTAAGACTTCCGTCTCCTTTCTTTCGCCACCCTTACTGGCATCGGTGGTGCTGCTCGAATGATGACGATAGGTCTGTGATTGTGTTAGAGGTATGGGGCAGCAGATAAGTCATGGTTTATAGTTTGTAGATTGAGTAGTGTTAATGTACATAGAGGTGAGCTTTCTCCAACGATCTAAATCTATGAACACATTATGAAATATTTGCTCCGAGAATTGCCGGAAATTCTATCAGTGAGAGAACACGTACTCTAGACACGTTAACACATTAGATCCTTGGAAGATGTTTGTGTCCAGGTGATATCAAACGAAAAGCAAGAAAACCACGCACCCAACACCCAAAAATGCGATAAATACGTCAGTTATAGAAAGTCATGGCCAATCACCAGCATCGAGTGACCGTGGCTGGCCAGAGGGAGACAAGGAGCTGGCATTGAAGATTGATAATGGTACCTATGCTCTACGCGGAGTCACCACCGGTGTTAGCAGCTGCCCCATGAGTTGCAGAATCACTGCTCTGCTTTGGTTGCGACCTAGTCGCATTCCTCAAAGCTGCTGCTCGCTGCGCAGTAGGTTCGGTGGCAGCAGATTTGGCAGCGGCCGCCGCAGCGCTGTCTTTCAAACGTCTGATTCTCTCGGCGCGACCTTCACCTGGAAGACTACCCCAGACCGGCTCAATAGAATCCGCTCGCCAGTTGGACCGGTGTGCCGTGAGTGCGCTGTTTCGAGTGGGAAGGGAGACCATCGGTGAACCACCCACGCCGGCCTCACCCCACATTCGGACACGCTGAAGCTTGCGCAGTTTCGCTAGCCCATATACGCAGACAACTGCGGTGATCGCAAAACATATAACGGAGACTCCTCCGAATCCGAAGTCGGACTCTTCAATGAAGTTCTTCAGGTTCATACCATATAGAGCAGAGAATAGAGTTCCTGTTGCAAGTCCAAGCGTGCCGATGCTAAACTTCAGATCGAGCAGCATGAGAGAGTTGCGATTGGCGTCGAGGATAGCTTTCACACTAAGCGGAAATTAGCGAGTCTGCACATAGGTAACTCTAGGTATAAGAAGAGCGACAACGTACACTTCTTCTGTATTCCGAATGCCGGTCACCAAGTTACCGCTTTCCTGAACGATTTCGTCACAAACCTTGTGGTACGACTCTAGAAGCATTTCAACTTCTTGATGGTCGTGCTCCTGTCTTTGAACGCCCTCTGCACGCTCAGTCAAGTACATCGCCGCTAAGTCATCGTCGGCTTCCAGCAAATCATCGATTGCATCCCGCACCAGTCGAGCTTTCTGCTCAAAACTACCCAGTTTCTTAGAGTAGATCAACAGATGCCTGAGTTTATCCCTATCGATATCCTCTTCCAAGGCCCGAAGCACGCGCACCACGGGCTCTCGAACACCATTAAACTCCTCCTCAAGACCGGTTGTGACGCTGATCAAAACAGCTTCGAGAGCGCGGAACTCGTAAGGCAGAGATTGGGCACCCTGCGATTGTTTCTGACGCAGCTTTCCTTCCAGGTCATATACAAACAGCGACTGCATATATGAATCGGTAGATCCGTAAGCATCAAAGACCAAAACCCGATCGGCCTTGATCAGGACACGAAGGTGTAGAAGGTTGATAAGGATAGCACTCGGTCGTACAAGAATGTGGGGCAAGGTCGAAGAGTCAATTTTGCGAAGGTCTCGAGGGAGGAGGCCATACTTTGTAGTCCGTTTAGCTTTGATGTTGTGCAAAGTAAAATCGCAACCGTTCAGTAGAGGGACAGTTACCAACCTTTGCGATAAGTTCACTCTTCCTGAACTCTCCATTGACCAGTGTAACATTGCCGTTGTTATCGAACTCAGTGCATCGCAATCGCAGCTCGTTGGAAGCCTTTGCCGCTAATCCACGTCCAAAATTCAAGCCCTCTGTTCCCTCATCGACCAATGCAGGACCGCCGGTGCGGTTCAGTTTGGATTCTGCGGCCACTTTGCTACGTCTTAGATCAAATAGCCTGCGAAGTAAAGGGCGACTCTTCGTGTGTGTAGCCCGCGAAAACACAGTGATGGGAGGCGGGGATTGATCCAGCGTAGCTCGACATCGCGGCGAACCACGGCTTCTAGAAATGGTTGGAAGGTTTGTCTGTAACGTGGCGCGACATTGTAGCGGCGTAATATAGGCCCAGCTGGATGCATTTCTCAATGCAGGCATACGCGATGGCTGGTTATGAACTCGCGGCTTTCGAGAAGTTCCGCATGCCGATGTAAAGACATAGGTATTCTCTGACTGGGAGCGCAGGTATCGGAGAAGCGACGCTGAAGGAACTGCCGGTTTCAAAGGTGGCGGGGATAGCATTTCGGACTTGTCTAGATCAACAAGTCACCATCGAAATACTACCGTACTACCGTCTCGTTCTCCCTCTGTCCGATCCGCAGTATTGCTCGGCGGCTCTCTTTTTTTCCTACATGGAGTTGCGCCGCGCGGACCATCCCGGGTCAATGATGTTCCGTACTATATCTCCAACTACAACAAATATTTCTTCTACTTCTGCTTTCTTCGCAAGGGAGTCAGATATTTGCTTGTCGGATCATCCCAGACTATTGCAAGACATTGCTTTTGCTACATGAAGGAGCCTTTTTAGCGGGAAAACCCCAACCGACATCTGCTGAATTGAAGAATAATGCTGAATATTGAGATGAAGAACGCTGCAATATGTAGGTATCAAACGAAACTAGACCGGTCTAACCCACAGCAACATATGAAGCAAAGATAAGAAGTAGCCACCAAGCTTACCAATCATCGTCGTCGTCCTTTTCATCATCTGTACTCTAGATTAGTACGCATCATCAATCAATAGGCAAATAATGAACCTACCGCTACCGCTAACTTTCTGCTTTCTCTTGTCCAGAGCGGCTTTAAGCGCGCCTGCCATACCACCCTGAGCAGCACCGCCCCCTGTTGAAGCTGCGGATGATTCGTTGGCAGACCCAGGAACCATCGCCGCGCTACGATCCTTCTTGTCGGTGTCTTTGACCTTCCGCAAGCCTCCGCCACCCTTGCCTCCGGATGCCCTAATGGCAGCCATAAGGTCGTCTCTCCCACCAGCAGGTGTGGGCAAAGGTGGGGCTGCTCCACCTGCAGGGGGAGGAGGAGGCGGAGGAGCACCAGCTGCAGGAGGTGGTGGTGGCGGCGGAGCTCCGCCAGCTGGCGCTGGGGGTGGAGGGGGAGGGGGGGCTAAGGGGCCTCTGCCGGGCGGAGGGGGAGGCGGAGGTATGCCCGAAGATGGGGGTGGTGGTGGCGGCGGAGGAGCTGGAGGGCTTCTGCTTGATGATGGAGGAGGTGGTGGCGGCGGAGGAGGAGGAGCAGCTACGCTCGACGTGGGAGGGGGAGGGGGAGGAGGCACAGAAGGACTTGGGCTTGATGAAGGGTGCGGCGGAGGCGGTGGAGGCGGCGGAGGAACGCTTGATGAAGTCGGTGGTGGTGGTGGTGGAGGGGGCACCGCGCTAGATGCAGGTGGAGGAGGCGTGGGCCGGGAAGCAGCTGGCACAGGCGGAGGAGGAGGTTGGCTGGCCGGACTTCTCGGGGGTGGTGGGGGAGGTGCTGGCGTTGATCCCTGGCCATGGGGCACTTTGGGAGGAAGCTGTGGCGGTACCGCAGGGCTTGACGAGCGGGGAGGTGGCCGTGGCGGTGGCCCTGGAGGCGCTGGGTTACGGCTGGGTGGTGCTGGAGGAGCGGACACCTTTCGCTCTCCTTGGAAAGGTGGAGGCACCCCAAACCGGGGTTGACTATCATCCATAGGAGTCTTTGGAGGTCGTGGTGGGGGAGGAGGCCCAGGATTCGCGCCCGATAATGCTCGTTGTCGGCCGGGAAGAGGGGGCCCATTGCTGTGCGCAAATTTGCCAGCATCTGCAATTGGAGGCGGCGCTCGGAATCTGGGCCGGGGCGGGGATGGTTCGCGAGTGGATGCAGGCGACTCTTCCTCTGCTTCAGCACGAGTTCTCCGTGATGGCGGAGGTGGTGGCGGAGCGCCTCGCCGACTACCCGTACTATTACCTGTATGTTGCGGGCTTATAGAACTCGACTTAGGGGCAGGGGGCGCCGATGGAGGAGGCGGAGGGGGAGCTTTGCCCCTTTTATCCTCAGCTGGAGACGGAGCAGAATCGACCCCGTTGCTTTGTTTCTGCTCAATATATGCCTTGATAAAGTCCGAATTCTCCGCGATTTGGTCTTCCGTGATGCCCATCTGCAAGAGTTCGTCCAGAAGACCTTTCCATGACGGATCACTGGTGTCGAAGGGCAAGGGCTTGCGCGGAGGGCTGCTGGGTGGGGGAGGTGCGACTTGAATGGAGGGCGCAGGAGGTTCTGTATGTGCTACTGGTGGAGGCGCATTTGACCCCGATGTTGACCGATGGCCTAGCAGGCTACCGAAAATCGACCGTCCTACGCCGTGTTTACCATTTGCTATGGGAGCAGGGCCTTGACCACGAGTGGATGCGAAAGGTGTCTGCCGGGTTTCTTTGCTCACATTTTTCTCCCGCTCTTGCATTTTCTTGATGAACGTTTTAGCTTCCTTCTCGTCAGCAAAGGATAAACCAGCGGCACACTCTTCCAGCTCAAACGTGTGAAAGAATGTTCGGTCTTGGTTATAGGGGAAATTATCGTAGATCTCCTGGTCCCAGATAACACCTCGTCCAGCGGGCTGTGGCTCGGAATGAACGGAATCATCAGCAATCTGGGGGAAAAAAAAAGTCAAGGGGCCATCAAGACAGACACAGTTACTCACCGATACATCCACCAGCTTCAACCAGAAGGTCCGCCCGACTAAATCATTCGCCAGGACGACGGCACCCTGTAGACCTGTGTATGTCCATTTTTGAGGATCCGGGTAGGCCACATATAATCGCGCAACAGCTACAGCGTGGATCTTGTTCGCCGGTTTGGGGACAGTCCTCTTGACGGTTTCTTTGTCGGCGTCACTGAGGATAGATGGCATGACGGACCGCGAAGAGCTAGTTCAAGAATACCGGAAACGGAATTAGAGGTTATACAGCGCCGTAAATGTTTCTTAAGGAACTTCTCGATAACGCATTGCAGGAGTTGGTGAAGTTGCTCCAGGCAGAAGTGTAAAAATGCACTCGACTTCCAGACACGGATAATCGCTGATGCGGCCAAGAACAAACTCGAGCTGGAGAGGAGGGGCAATTTCTCCGGGTGTTCGATCAAGACTTAAGAAGATTGACTGTGGGTGAGTTTGAGAGGCGGAACCGGGGGCGTACGCGAGTAATTCGTATGCCTATGGGTAGTTGAACTGTTGGCTGTTGGGAGAAATCAGCCTTGAGGGGAAGTCAGAGAAGAGGTCAAGTAGCAGAAAGAGGGAGAGAGGCACACTACCACTAATGCTGCCGCTAAGTTTCTACTACAGTGCCACTAACTCCATTTCCGGTCCCACTTCAGGCCCGAGTGGGGAACTCGGAGAGAATGTAGGGCATTACTATCTAAACATAAGGTATGGATTCTTAATTCTTCTTCCTGGACTACAATTCTGGCCATCTCTACTGACTGGTTGATGCCAACTGGAAAGGCTATACCCAAAGAAAATAGTTGAACTTGTAGTGACCTATTGCGCTCGTAATTTATTTGATCGCCAGTCCTTCTTTCCATTATTTAGTCGTTACAGCCATGACCACGAGTTCAATATTCCCGAACCTGTCAGGTTTGAGAGTAGATCAATTCTGGAATAGTCCGTATGTCGCGGCCTTTTTGTTCATGAAATTAAATTCAATGTCAGGTGGTTGATTTCCAATCGACGTCATCCCGTTTCCTCTCCAAAGCTCCTTCTATTTAAATCCCATTCGTACCAACACAACTCTGCACCATCTTCAGATAAATTAATCATAGAGCTTCTTCTTGCTTGACTACTCGTTCCACTCTGTATTGCAATAGAAGATTATTCACTAGGTTACATACACCTCGCTCCAAGATGCCGGTCATTCCTTCAGACACCACCAATTTCCCATCAACAGCCAGCAATAGCTCCAACCAGAATGAATCGCAGAAGGCCACTGCTCAGGACCATCTGTCTAAAGGACCACAAATCCCGGACAGTATGTACCGTGATATCTTTGGTAGATCCTTGGCAGTTTAACTGACAGCCGCAGATATGCCACCCAAAGCTTCCCGGGAGGAAATCGAAGCACGCAAGAAAGAGCTGAACAAATAAATCAGAATTCTCAAGGATGGCCATGATGGAAACTTCATATCATGAATTATGAAAAATGTAGCGGAAATGTTATTTAGGACTGTTACTTGTCTGGTTTATGCTATGCAATGAATTTTGTAGGTAGCAATTTCATATGTATAATTTGTCAGATTCAAAGACTATAGTAACTAGTACTCGTCCTAGAATGAATGACATCAGTTCATGGCCATGCCAATTACTATTCTCCAGTACAGAGTATAATCACGTCCATTGACCAGCATACTACTAGTAGTGCAATGATGTACATACTACTAGTACTTGGTTTTCTTCAGACGCTTAATTACATCATAGGCACGTGATTTCGTGTTCACTTTGCTCCTCATGGCGCGACAAGGACATGTCTTTTTCGCGTTAAGAGGCTCCTCATGCCGCCGGAACGTACAAATGTCCCGGTGAAGCTGTCCTTGCCGTTGGTAAGTGCTCTGGTTTTTTTGCACATATACATCGGAGGTTCTTTTGGTATGACTGACAGCATCAAATCCAGCAATATCAGCAGGACATCTTCACCGAACTGCGCACCGAGGATGAATTGGTCATCCTTGCCCGGGGCCTTGGGCTACTGCGCTTAGTGACTAATCTCTTACATTTTTATGATGCTGCAGGGAATAATCTAGTCTTGGTAGTGGGTGCTGATGATCGAGAGAATGAATGGATCGGCGAAGGTATGTCAAAAGGCTCTCCAGCTTATCCATAGTGCCTCGAGTAGGATATGCCGACGCTAATAGCCAAACAGCACTGGCAGAACACTATGCCATTAGCAAAACCCCCTTTGCCAGAGGACTCAAGGTAATCAACACCGAGAGAGCCTCAGTTTCCATGAGGGAGAGGATCTATGCCGAAGGTGGTATCCTGAGTGTAACATCCAGGATACTGGTTGTAGATCTACTATCAAGTATGTCTACGGAGTAGCTTTCTATGCGATAGCAGGCACCTGATATTTACTTTAACAGAGCTTCTCGATCCTGAAAAGATCACAGGAATGGTTGTGCTTCATGCTGACAAGTAAGGCCCTACTCTAGACTTCTCGTAGATATTTACTCATCACCTTCCAGGATCATGGCAACTTCAACTGAAGCTTTCATCATTCGAATATTTCGACAAATCAACAAAAATGGGTTCCTAAAAGCATTTTCCGACTCCCCCGAACCATTCACTACAGGGTTCGCACCCTTAGCTAATTCTATGCGCAATCTTTTCCTTCGCAAAGCCTCGTTATGGCCGCGATTCCATGTTACTGTTGCCGAGTCCCTCGAAGGTCACAGAAAAGCCGAGGTCATCGAGCTTGAGGTTCCGATGAGCGACAAGATGCGTGAAATGCAGAATGCAGTCCTTGAATGTGTGGAAATATGCATCGGAGAACTGAAGAAAGCCAACACTGGCCTGGACATGGCAGACTGGACCTTGGACAGCGCTCTGCATAGGAGCTTTGACATCATGATCAGACGGCAGTTGGATCCTATATGGCATCGGGTGACGTTCAGGACCAGGCAGATTGTTAGCGATTTGAGCGATCTTAGGGCGATTCTCCAGTGAGTCCAGTAGCGACCCCTCATCCGCTAAGCATCGTATAACCACTAACTTACCATCAGTGCGTTACTGACGTACGATTCTGTGTCATTTGTCAAATATCTGGATACTATTGTAACTGCGCATTCTCCTCCCCCTGGGTCCACAAGGCATAACTATTCACCATGGCTGTTCCTTGATGCAGCTCATGTTCTGTTCCAGACTGCTAGGTCTAGAGCATATCAAGGAAAAATAAGCAGTGAAGTGGCTCGCTCATCATTGAATTCGTTCCCTACTAGTCTTCAACCTGTCTTAGAAGAACAGCCCAAGTGGGAAGTCCTGGCAGAAGTGCTGGAGGAGATAGAAAACGATGCGTACCTCAATCCAGTCAATGTGGACGAGTCGAACAGTACAATTTTGATCATGTGTACCGACCAACGAACTTGCCGACAGCTCCGGGAATATCTGGGGACAATGCATGCTCATGTAAATGACGAAAATGAAGACGACAAAGACATTGGTGACATCACCAGGAAGGGCTCCGCGCAGGTCATGATGCGTAGGAGACTGCGGGACTATCTCAATTGGAAGATATCTCTGTCTAATGTGACGAAGAATTTATCTTCGAAGCCAACAAATGACGAGTCCCAGGCTGGGAAAAGCCAAGACTCACCTGGATCATCCACTCAACAAGGACGAGCCCCTCCAAACAAGCGACGCCGGGTCCGTGGCGGAGGTGCTGTTACATCTGCCTCTGGCCGCGTACCGAATAGCAGTGTACAAACAGATGTTGAATTGCCTGGCCAAGTCTCGAACTTACTGGAAGAGATCCAACCCACGGAAGTCGAGGAGGTCCAGAAGGAGGAGATCATAATTGACGATCTGGATGATATGGAAGATTTCTATGAGCTATGCGACATGGATGATTTAATCATGATACACCCCTACGATGGTGACATGGACGAGCACATATTGGAAGAAGTGCGGCCGCGGTACATCATTATGTACGAACCCGATTCGGCGTTCATCCGACGAGTGGAAGTCTATCGCAGCTCTCATGTTGGGCGAAACGTGCGAGTGTACTTTATGTACTACGGAGGATCTGTCGAAGAGCAGCGGTATCTTAGCGCAGTCCGACGTGAGAAAGACTCCTTCACAAAGCTCATCAAAGAGAAAGGCGTAAGTTGACCACATGCAACTACTTCTAGGAAACTGTCTACTAACATGATACACACAGAATATGGCTGTCGCTCTCACACATGACAAGGGCTTCGAAGACCCTCAAGAACAGTTCCTGCGCACTGTTAATACACGTATTGCTGGAGGCGGGCGGCTCGCCGCAACAGCGTCGCCTCCTCGAGTCGTGGTGGACGTACGAGAGTTTAGAAGCGCTCTTCCATCTCTACTACACGGTAATAACATGATCATTGTCCCATGCCAGCTAACAGTGGGAGACTATATTCTTACCCCGGATATCTGTGTTGAGCGAAAATCAATTCGTGACTTGATCACTTCCCTCAAAAATGGCCGTCTCTACAACCAAGCAGAGACGATGCTTCAGCATTACAAGAACCCTCTTCTTCTGATTGAGTTTGACCAGAACAAGTCGTTTACCTTCGATGCATTCGCGTCCGCAACAACACCAGGAACGACTTTCCTAACAGATTATGGGTTCTCTTCTTCCGGAACTGCGACCACAACCTTGTCTGGTAGCAGTTCGCTCGTTAATCCCTCCAGCCCGAAGTCCGCTCAACACCTCCTCGTCCTTCTCACTCTCGCATTTCCTCGCTTAAAGGTCATTTGGTCATCCTCTCCTTACCAGACTGCGGAGATCTTCGCGGAACTCAAGAAGAACAACCCGGAGCCAGACCCTATCCGAGCAGTTCAGATCGGACTAGACATGGACATTGCACCTGGCTCCGAATCCAGTAATGTCATGGCTGCAGCTGGTATAGAGCACCGTACCTTCAATCTCCTTCCTCAGGATATGCTCAGAGCCGTTCCGGGTGTGACACCGAGTGTCCTAGAACGGCTTATCCTTGATACGGGCAATATCTCGGAGATCGCTAATATGGATGTTGAGCAATTGGATCCTCTTGTGGGAACAGAAGCCGCGCGCAAGATCGTCAACTTCTTCCGGAAGAGTGTGTTCGATGAAAGCTAACCTGCATCTACTGTCTACTAGCTTGCGAAGTCCAGCTACTGAAGAGCTAGTTGATGGCTACATTTAGAGTATATAAATAGGTCTTCAAAACATAACTTTTGTATGTCCAGACTTTTTGTATTCTCGTAACCTTGTCATGAATCTATCATCCAAGTTTTAAATTAAAAGGAACGAAGTGGCAAGAGGGAACAGACAAAAGAATTGCCAACACGAAACACGCTGAGTACAGTCGGTCTCTTGATACGCGTCGCAACCAATTCTCTGCGAAAATTCGAGGTTGTCCCTCATGATAAAAACGATCTATTGGCCAAAAAGCCAATCGAATTATCATGTAGAACTCCAAGAATTTTCTACCCATGATTCATACCCTGACTTTTGGAAGGAGCACTGGGGCAGTGGTAGGTCCCCAAGCGAAGCGGGAAGGCAGCAGCCCCTAGACCTTTCTGGTCTCCTTCCCAGGAAACAGATGGCATAATGATAAAACCAACCGTCAAGCTCCTGCCTGACGCAAGAAAGACCTTTCACAGAAGGAAGCCTGTCGGGTTTCCCAGAAAGGAAATAGCTTGGCTTTGAGAAAGAGAAAAGAGGGGCTGGCGAACAGGATCCCCAGTAGCTCTCGCAGGGCTGAATCCAAAGGGATGAAGGTTTTTAGAGCTCGTCGACATCGATCTCCTTCTCGTCTTCGCTCTCGCGGTCCTCGTCGAACTCGACGTTGTCCTCGAAGCCTTCGTGGCCGTAGGTATCGGTCTCGTTGATCTTGGCGTGTTCGGGCAGCTCACCGTAGGCCTTGAGACTTCTGGCCTCATCGGCAGTGTACTTCATGATAACGTCGCCCTTTTCGTCCTGGTAATCACGGAGAGAGAGAAGGATGATATCACCCTGGTTGATCCAGACCTTCTTCCTGAGCTTGCCACGAATGTGCGCCAGACGCTTCTCGCCATCGAAGCACAGCGCCTCGAGACGGCCGTTTCCAAGCATCTTCACAACCTGGGCATACTCCTGGCCTTCTTCCTTGAACACGAGTTCACGCTTCTCGTTGTCGTTCTCGTTCTTTCCACGACGACGGTTCTTACCGCCCTGTACATATGTTGTTAGCCTGTGCTCTGTGTAAATATTCTCAAGTTAAACGCTTCCGCAATCTTAAGGCATCTCAGCTGCCCAAAAGTCACCTCCCAGGCACGGGGGGTGGCGATTTGGGAGTTGTTATGGCACCGACTAAAGCACCCACAAAAGAGGCAGAGAAAAGTCTAACACAGCGGGGGCGATTTGTTTCAGGAAAATCCTGTTCTTACCTTTCCCTTATTCTTGGGCATGACGGAAATTCGCTAACCGCGATAACTTTCCACTCGATGCAATATCAGATGGACTGATATAAAAAAGAGGAAGTGGTATATGTCCCAAAGGACCAAGAGTGGTGAAAGTGGGGGAAGTGTCGAGTAGGCGGGAAGTAATTTCGACGCTTTTCTGAATATATAATCGGTGGGGGGCCGGTGGCGTGGCGGCCTGAGTCATGCCTAAGGCTGGCCACAGGGGTCGACCAATGAAAATTGGCTACTGTTACCGCCTCAAATGTTTCTTTTGGCAGAAAAATAAATGGAAATCGTCCGATTTAGGTCGAATTTGATGAATCGAGCTCCATGAAGAAAGAGCCTACGTCTTTTCTGCCTCTTACCTCTTTGATATTTGATTTCTTGAAAGGTTTCTGACACATATACCTGCGCGCTACCTCCCACCACTGCTAGAATAACTGGTTTCGTCTTGCTAAACAATGAAGGGAAGGTGACACCGTCTAGCGTCAGTGCCCTAGGTCCCAGTCTCATCTTTTCTAGCCACAAAGGCAAGGCTCTTTCTTGACTACCTGGTCGACTTAGACATGAAGTTTCTCGCATCAACAAAGCAGTTTACTCTGCGGTATGTTCCGAAACATGTCATATCTCCTATCGCTTCCCGGTACTTAGCTTCTCCGATCAATCCTATCCGGTTCAAAATTCAACATTTATATGCCACCCGTGATCGGACTACATTATGGTGGAGAGTATCTTCACAACATCTACAGCAGCAAAGGCGAGTGGTCCGGTCATGGTGTGCACGGAGGGTCCGAATAGCGTTTCAGCGCGCGTTGAAAGAGCGTGGCTTTGATACTGAAGGCAGAAGGATAAGGCCAAGCTCTGATGAAAGTGCCGCGCTATCAGAAGGAAATAGTGACAATTTGGTAGGGTCAATCGACATCCTTGTCCGCCCGCAGTGTGTCCAAGAAGATTATGCCACGGTCCAGGCGGATATGAATTCTCTTGTCGATTCCTTGATACAGCACAGGAACAAGGGAGATCACCCAAAATCGCTGCGGAACGAGGGCGTCAAGGTGTCAATTAAGAATTCTCAAAGAAAGAATAGTACTAGTAATTAATCTAATAAGTGTATATATGTCGTCGTCGTTGTGTGACGTTAGTATAGTTATCAACTGTATCATATCCGCATTCTCCGAGTGCACTGAAGACAATAATTGCTTCAGATGTGGTAACGCAGATCTATCCTTTGGGAGCAATTTTGAGTCTCCTAATAGAAAACACGATTGAATAAACAAGATTAGTGGAGGGCATTCCCCATATGTACAAGGAACTCGGAGATATAACGCGCGGCACTGCCTCCTTGGCATATTCGCTAACTCGCCGATCCTCTCGGGGCCTGGAAGCAAGAAGACAACAACGGACTAGAGCAGTTGTAGCACTAACCTCGCAAGATAGCAACCAACCCTTTCTTATTGTCTACTATTCTTTGTCTTTTATGCGCTATCGATAATCGATTAATTCCTTTTCTTATCCTCCAAGATGCTGGTCTCCTTGACAGTTGGCAAGGTAGACGCTGGAGTCGCCGTCCTCTTGACACAGGATAACCGGCTGGTAAGTCGTCCCCTCTCTTACTGCAATTGATGCGACTGTTTCACCCCTTCAAGGCCTCTCGATCCTTGACTCATCTATTCAACCATGAAACAACATCACTGGATCTGCGACAGTTCTAATACTTGTCCCTTTCGCAAGTGCTAACCCACCAATTACAGATCGAGTTTCCCTCTGTCCTCCTCCCTAACAACATCACATCCGGCAGCATCGTCGACATCACAGTAGCGCGCAATCATTCCGCCGAAGAAGCCAGTGCCACCGGATTCCAAAGTCTCCAGAAAAGCATCCTCAACACATACGGTGTCAAGACTCCCACTCCGCCGGTCCTGCGACTCCGCAACGCAACCCAAACCTCACTAGTACTGGAGTGGGATCCGATCGACCTGGCCACAGCATCTCTGAAATCCCTCTCACTCTATCGCAATGGCTCCAAAGCCGGATCCATCCCGCGACCCCTCGAGACACGCTCCACCAAGATCAGCGGACTGGCAATTCACACCGAATACACCTTCCACTTAGTCCTGCGCACAACTGCCGGCACATACCAGTCGGAGAAGCTGACATGTCGGACGCACAAGATGACCGATCTCTCCGGTATCACAGTTACGGCGGGTGTTTTGCCGGAACAGCAGAAGGAGGCACTCGGTGCCGCGCTGGATCGCATCGGCGGCAAGCTGATTGATACAGTCCGCATTGATACGACTCACTTCGTGTGCACGGAGGGAAGAGGCCCGCTGTGGGAGAAGGCAGTTGAGATGAATATTCCTGTCGTGACGCCGGAATGGGTGGATGCCTGTGAGGCTGAGGGCACTATCGTGAGTGTCCGTGGCTACTACCTGAATGCCGACCCCAAGGCTAGACAGCTGGGTCCTATTCATGCGTCGACGCAACATCAGCGTACCATGTCCACTATGACTGCCAATACACAGAATCATATCCAGTCCCAGTCCCAGTCGAGACTGAGCCTCCAGCCTCAACCGACGCGAGAGAGACAGGAGTCTCTCGCTGAACCGCCGGTTACTCCGTTCCCCGGGGCCGGCATGAGTGGTCAACCGAAGGCCGAGGACTCAGAAGGACCTTCGGATGATGAAGATGAACAGCCTCCTCCGCCTCCTCCCAAGGATGAGGATGAAGCTGCAGAGTCCCCGTCCCCGGAGCCGACTACTAATGGTCATGCCGAGCAAAATGGGGAGGCTGATGTTACGGAAACAGCAGTTTCATCTGACAAAGAGGACAAGGCTGATAGTGAAGAGAAGGAAGACGATGCAGAAGAGAAACCAGAGGAGAAACCAGAGGAAACAAAAGAAGAGCCATTGGGCGATGAGGTGAAGAAGGGCAAGGGAAAAGAAAGCGAAGGGGACTTCAATGAAGTCCCTCTTTAATGGGTCCATGTGAGCGTTTTCCTTATGTCTCTTTTCCTTGTTTTCTTTTTCCTTTCCTTTTCTTCTTCTTATCCTGTTCAAGACTTTGAATTCATCGAAGCCTGTAATTGTATAGCCAGTATGCTAGTAGATGAATCTCTCGCGGCACGACGTTTCCTAATGCATGCCTTCTTTATACTTCCCACATCTTACCCCTTGCCGCACTCTTGTGGCATGCTTGTATTATAGAGGTAGCTTCCAATGGTTCAATTATTTACCTGATATTATAAAGTTCTCTGTATTACATAGTAGGGTTTGTGTAATGATCTCATCATAAAACTTCCATAATCATTCGAAATGTCATATATAAATCTAATCAAGATGTACATCTATCTTGTCATGCACACTCCAGTACACGTACATCAAAACTATTTGACAACGCCCTCTGGCATGGAAGGACCTCTCCCGACCTTCACCTAAAATGCAAAGCAAAGATTGCCAACTATTGCGCCGATATGCTTTGAAACTTCATATGTACGACAAAGGTACGTTAGATATGTACTGAGCCTCGCTTGTGTTTTTCTTCTTTAGTTTAGTGACTTCGTTCCTCGTTGTAATCATCAGCATGATAATGCATGCTTAGTTGACGTTGCGGACAACGTCGTTAATAGCCTGAGCTACGTAGGTGACGTTCTTCTCGCTCACTGTGTGGAATTGGTTTATTAGTTAAGGACATTTTCCTTGTGCAGTGGATGAAATCAATGACTTACGGCCGCTGATGGAGGCTCTGCCGGATTTGAGAAGGTAGATGTGATATTTGTCCTTCAAGGCGTACACTTGAGAGGGGGTCAGACCGGTGTAGGAGAACATTCCATTCTGGGAGGAGAGAAGGTTAGTCTTAGCTTGGAATGCTACTGGACGTGGTGATGGGTAGTTTGTTTATTACCTGTTCAACGATGTGTCTCCATGTTCCGGGGGTCTCGAGTTTGATGAGCTCATTGTACAGGGCTTGTCTCATGGTCCTGATACGGGAGCTCATGACCTGCAGATCTTCATGCCACTGGGCAGTGAGTTCATCATCAGTCAGGACCTTCTTAACGATGCTGCATCCGCCGGTGGGACCCATGGAGTATTCTCCACGGATGAAGTGACAGAGGTTGTTGACGACGATGTCGCGGAGGTTCTGGGCACCGTCGTTCAGGACGTAGTGGAATGCACCGACACGCTGGCCATACAGACCAAAGTTCTTCGAGAAGCTCTGGGCAACGCACATTTCCATCTGGGGCTTCTCATTAAGAAAGTACCGGACAGCCCAGGCGTCCTCGTCGGCAGAACCGGAGGCGAAGCCCTGGTATGCAGAGTCGAAGAAGGGGAAGAGCTTCTTACGCTCGCACAGGTCGGCAATAGCCTTCCATTGCTCCTTGTTGGGGTCAAGACCGGTGGGGTTATGAGCGCAGGCATGGAGGAGGATGACATCTCCTTGCTGGGCGTCGGCTTCGAGGGTAGACATCATGCCTTCGAAGTCGAAGGAACGGGTGGCGGCCTTGTAGTACGGGTAGGTCTTCCGGGGGACGCCAGCGAGCTCCCAGATGGTCAGATGGTTGGCCCAGGATGGGTTGGAGAGCCAGACATTCTTGGGCTTCATAAGGTGTGAGAGGAAGACAGCACCGAGGTGGTTGGCACCGGTACCTGCGACAGCCTGGACAGAGCCAATGCGGCCCTTGGTCGCCTTGACCTTGTCGGAGGTGTCTTTCGCGTCGAAGCCGAACATCAGGTCTCGAGCCAGCTCGAGGAAGGGGATGTCACCTTCGATAGCGGTATATTCATGTCTGAAGAGGTTGTCGTCGGCAAGTAGGCGCTTCTCTGCCTCGCGGACGACGGGCAGCGGCCATGGCTTGCCATCGTCTGTACGGTAGACACCCACACCGAGACTGACCTTCTTCGGGTAGTCGTCGTTGGCGTAGGCACGGTTCAAGGCGAAGATCTCATCCGCCGGCACCGGGGCCAAGGTGCTTAGAACAGTCATGGTGCTTATGACGTTGTATAGTAGTCGAGGAAGTTCACTCAATTGATCTCTCCTGGGGGAGTATTGCGATTGCGGAGGAAGGGGGTCACAAAAGGAAAAGAGTGGAGAAGCTGCTGCTTAGATATGGAAGACGAGGTCACTGAAGACTTGTCTATACTGCCAGAATAAGTAATCAAATTACAGAAATGGTTTTCTGCATGACTCAATGGCTAGTGTGATGTATTAGTAGTGGCATAGGCCCGATATCGCCGGCCTAGTTATCCGCTAACATTAAATATTGCCTCTGTTTCAATTTTTTTTTTTAGTCTAATTATTTGCCGTCGCAGGCGGGCTACAATACCCGACGGAAAAACACGCTTAGCGATGGATAGTTCCTGCATTGTGGGCCGTTCCATGGGGATAAAGTAGGAAAACGCTCCCTGACTGGTCGAGGGCGATGTATCCTTTTGGTAGATGTTCAATGATGACGGGGCTGAGATCACACGCATCTTTGGAAGGGTTGGACGTAGAGGTGCATATGACCTTGGACGAGGTTATTTTCTTGCCCTAGAGGTGAAAGTAAGGGAGATGTCACCTGTCGGATAGTTGGCAGATCCTCCATATCAAGGCTCGCCACGGATATTTCAGTGGAGGGTTTGAGATGTTCATAACTCAAACAACAATTAGGCCAAGAAATCCCACCGTGCAGGCACCGCCAGGTATGTGATAGTTGGTAGTTTCTTTTTTTGTCATGCTTTTTGTGTCGCCTTCCTCCCAATAGTGCCTTTGAGGCGCCTTGGCACCAGTGAAGATAGAGATATCTGTCGACACACACTTGATTAACCAGCAATCTGCAAGGTTCTCTGTCATTGTGTGGACTATGACATAATATTGGTAATAATGCTGTGAACCATCTGGGATTCGGTAATAACACCTCAGGGCTATTGAACTGTCGATACACTGAAGTTGCTACTACTATATATCCGTGGGAAGCCTGATCTAGCGAAGTCAATTAGTAGTCGACTTTGAAGTATAGATGTAGCGAGGTAGGTGAGATAAGGATACTATATCAACCGAACCAGATAAAATGCAAGAGTCCAAAGGGACATACATATTCAACATACTTAACAGTGTCCTGTTCCTAGTAGGGTGACTACATCGTGGATGTGGTAAGGCCACCCAAGGGTAACAAGTATGGTGACAGCGCGGGAAGTTGATACAGGTTGAATGAATGGCAGCCTGCGCCTAGGTAGGGTGCTGACTGTAGTCGCTAGGTTAGGCCAAATCACGGTCTCTTCCGATTCGAGGTCACGTCGGCTGATCATAGGGAGGGGGCTGGCAGGGCGTGAGATTCGACCTCCAAGCGGAGCTACTCCGATGTATGTATGCATAGATGCCTCAGTGTGTGTTCAATTGGACCCTTGATTTTAATAACTATATCCTAAATGAAGAACACCATTTCCTTCAATCTGTAATACTCCCGGTTATATTATGACTGTAATCCAGCCATTGCCAACTTCCTCAGAAACGACTGGGGGATCCTAATCTACATTCATCACGTCCACCAACCATCATTAAACCACTTTATAACAGCATGCCTCTCGAACTGCTTCACCGGCTCGACCCAGTCTATGTTGAACACTACAGAAAAGATACAGCGTGGGCCGCCTACATACACATGAAATACTGATCGAAGAGTTTAGAAAGAGTCCGGCGAGATGTGCCCCAGTTATGGCCGTGCTACAGACCCGGAAGTATACCGCAATACTGGGCAGAAATGTCCTACTCTAGGAGTGAGATAAGAGTTCTGATCTTCGAGCCGAAACTGACCGTTAATGAGCAAGGTAGGCTGAAGCAGGAAGCTGCATATATCAATGTCCATAGCTTTGGTTGAGTGTTTGGTAATCTTCGGCAGACCACGAGTTCTGCAAATGAGTCGTTCATGACCTAAATGGGAAATTTGTGGCATTTGACACCGACTATCGCCTTGCCCTGAAGTATAGGCATTCCACCGATAATGAAGACTGCTGGGCCGCATTCAACTGGGCAAGTCGCTGTCCTCCTGGGATCATCGTATGCTCGCAGTGCCCAGCTACAGCGGACTAACTCTTAGTCTGGATTCGGGTTCAGAAGGTCGAGGAGTTCAATATTGACCCAGAGCGAATGGCAGTGGGTGGTATCTCAGCAGGAAATAATCTGTCAGCAGTGTTGGCCCATATTTGCCGGGATGCTCACACCCTACTATCCTTGCAAATTTTGTCTGTGTCTGCGTGTAATAATGTCTTCATCCCAGAGGGGGCGGTTTGATCGGGCTAACGGGCCATACGTGTCGTACCGGGAAGTGGAAGTCACACCGGCACTGCCAACGGCAGAAATAGCATATCGCCACAAGCACTTCCTTAGAATGCCTCGACCAGCAAGGCCAGAGGATGTGTGTGCGCATGATGTCTAGAACTTCGGTATATCCTAAGCATGCAAGCGCCGACTGAGTATACAGGACTGGAAACTCTCCCCTATGCTAGCTGTTTACGGCGGAAATAGACCCTCTATGAGACGAAGGAGAAGCATATGCTGAAAAGCTGAAGGCTGCTGGTTGTAGAACAGAAGTGATGTGTATGCCTGAGGAACTCCATATCTCCCCGCATTTGGAAGATATCTTGGAAATGGGCACATTGTATAATAAAAAGGTCATTATTGCCATGGAGAAGGAACTTGCTGGATGATGTATATAGAGGAGGATCATGGTTTACCCGGCGAACATTCTTACCATACCGTACAAATCGGGATCTTCGCTAGGTATTGATTTCCTGTATGTATGGTCATCGCGTTACCGGGCCGGGGGATTTCGGCAGCGGAATCGGAAAAGCAATGGAATAACTGCTGAATGCAGCACCTTCGATTTTGCTTTCCTTTTCTCCCTTCTGTGTTTCTCCTCCTAATATACTGATTCTTGTACTTTTATTGTTATTCCTATAGACATATATAATTTAAGGTATTTATACGAGTTTTATCCTCCCAATCCTGAGCCATTGACCTATTCAGTACAAAGCTAAACAGAATCATCCCTGTCTAGCTCCACCATGTTGACACCCTCGAACTCCCGATCCGCAGTGCGGTCGATGGCTTCTTTGGCGCATGCAGCATCTAGAGCGTCCGCCAGTTCCCCCGCAGTCGCACGCTCTGCTTTAGCATGTGCTGCCCGGTCCCCCGCTTCTCTCGGGTGCCGTCGCGCTCTGAGCACCAATAGCCGACAACTCCAGTTCCCCCGCCTTCAGTCTTTGAACACCATCTCCAGCAAGAGAGCTTTTGGTACAACCGCAAGAATGGTACGCATACTGGGCTTTACGATAGAAGAATGCTAGTCGTTGTACTCTCCGTTCAATACTGTAGCAATGGTTTTGCTTCTAGCGCAAGAGTACGGTTTTCGAACGCACAATGCTGACGATTCCTCTTCTCCCAGGCTTCGGAAACTCGTGTTGAAACTGACGCCTTTGGCGAGATTGAGGTGAGCTTATTTCCTATCTTACACTGTGTTTTCTACATGGTCTAATCGTATGCTGTGATAGGTCCCCGCCGACAAGTACTGGGGTGCCCAGACCCAGCGGTAAGAGGCCGCCTCTAGAAGCTCATCGAGCTTGTACCGACGAGAAGACATACAGAGGCTAATCAATCCGAGAATAGTTCCTTGGGTAACTTCGACATCAACCAGCCTCAGGATCGCATGCCCGAGGGCGTTGTCAAGGCTTTCGGTATTCTAAAGGGTGCTGCTGCTACTGTGAACATGAAGTTCGGCCTTGGTACGCATATCTTTACCAGCATAGTGTTAAAACAAAACCTTTCTAACGATTTCCCATGTGTTATAGACCCAAAGATTGGTGAGGCTATCCAGAAGGCTGCCGCTGAGGTTGCCGAGGGTAAGCTCTTGGACCACTTCCCTCTTGTTGTTTGGCAGACTGGTTCCGGCACCCAGTCCAACATGAACTCTAACGAGGTCATCTCGAACCGTGCCATTGAAATCCTGGGCGGCAAGATGGGATCTAAGAAGCCTGTGCACCCCAACGACCACGTGAACATGTCTGCTTCCTCCAACGACTCTTTCCCCACTGCTATGCACATCGCTGCTGTCTTGGAGCTCGAGGGAACTTTGCTGCCTTCCCTCAAGAGCCTTCGCGATGCCCTCCAGGTGAAGGTGGAGAACTTTGAGAAGATCATTAAGATCGGTCGTACCCACCTGCAGGATGCTACCCCTCTTACTCTTGGCCAGGAGTTCTCCGGCTACGTTGCTCAGCTTGATCGCAACATCGAGCGCGTTCAGAACTCTCTTCCCCACCTTCGCTACCTTGCTCAGGGTGGAACTGCTGTCGGCACTGGCCTGAACACCTTCAAGGGCTTCGATGAGGCCATTGCTGCCGAAGTCACCAAGATGACTGGCACCGAATTCAAGACCGCCCCCAACAAGTTCGAGGTCCTCGCTGCTCACGACGCGATCGTCGAGGCCTCTGGTTCTCTTAACACCCTTGCTTGCTCCCTCTTCAAGATCGCCCAGGATATCCGTTATCTCGGTTCTGGACCTCGTTGCGGTCTGGGAGAGCTGATCCTCCCCGAGAACGAGCCCGGCTCCTCTATCATGCCCGGAAAGGTCAACCCCACTCAGTGCGAGTCCCTCACCATGATCTGCTCTCAGGTTATGGGCAACCACGTCGCTGCTACCGTCGGTGGCATGAACGGCCAGTTTGAGCTTAACGTCTTCAAGCCCGTCATGATCCGCAACCTCCTGCACAGCTCGCGCATCCTTTCGGATGGCATGAAGAGCTTCGAAAAGAACCTGGTGCACGGTCTCGAGGCCAACGAGCCCAGAATCAACTCCCTGCTCCACGAGAGGTATGTATTTCCTTCGCTTTACGTTAGGCTGCCCAAACTAGACTAACTCCTTGACAGTCTGATGCTCGTCACTTGCTTGAACCCCGTTATCGGTTACGACATGGCTTCCAAGGTCGCTAAGAACGCCCACAAGAAGGGTCTCACTCTGAAGCAGAGTGCCATGGAGCTTCAGGCCCTTAGCGAGGAGGACTTCGACACCCATGTCCGCCCCGAGCTGATGCTTGCTCCTAAGGAGAAGAAATAGAGAGGTGCATTTTGATACCTGAATAACGAAAAGGGGTTAGGATGGGTTGGTTCAGTTTAAGATATAGCGAATTAGCATCTTTTTCCTTTTAGATTTGTTGTGATGTAGTCTAGTGTATACAGATAAAAATGCTGGTTGTACGGATTTTATTTTTAGAATTGGTGTATTTTTTGTTTTTCACCAGGCTGTGGCTACGAGGTTGTCCTGGAGTTATTTTTGGAATTCCATGGGTAGCTACGCCAACGAGATAGTGCGCCCGCTGTTGCCCTGTAAAATGCGCTGGCCTGAGAAAAAATTAGTAGCTCCCAATTACATGCATGCATTAGTAGCATATTCCGAGGATACCGAGAGGTATAGCACAGTGGCTGTGAAAGGCGAATGTTTTTCTATTTTTCTTCTTGGTTTTTTTTTTTTTTTTTTTTTTTTTTTTTTTTTTTTTTTTTTTTTTTTTTTTTTTTTTTTTTTTTTTTTTTTTTTTTTAATGAGGCACCCAAATCGCCTGTTTGGAATTTCTCTAAACTTGTACTAACAGATTTCAATACTTCGGTATCGAGTGTCTCAGGTCCCAACTTAAATCCATGGTTACTACTAGTAATTTTTGTTTATCGATAAATACCTGTTCTGTCCCCACCTCCTGGAATTTCAGTTTGTTCTCACATCCTTCTTCCAAGCCTTCGTTTCTTCGTTGATCCTACAGTAATTGAGTACTACTCTCTTGTGTCTCGCTCTTTCTCCTTTCTTCATTGCATCTCTCTTTCCACTCTTTCCGACGTGGTTCTTGTTTGGTCAAGATCCAATAAATCTAATCGGGACCCGACCCCACCGTGTTTCACACCGCATAATCTACAGTACCCCTAAAAAGCGCTGTGATCGATTAGCTCCATCGATCATCCAGACTTAAATTCACGGCTCACTCATTTGACTGATTATCATTTGAACCACTATCTACAAATAACAATGACCAACATTACCACCACCACTACAGCCCCTGTCGCAGTCTCCATCAAACCCACCATGAACTCCCAACCCGAGGACGCCCCTCTCTTCTCGACCTCCTTGATCTCTCCTGAAGTGGTCGCTGTTCTTCCAGAGGGATACACTATCCGTCCCGTTCGCCGTTCCGACTACAAGCGTGGTTTCCTTGATGTCCTCCGTGTGTTGACCACCGTCGGCGACATCACTGAGGAGCAATGGAGCCAGCGGTTTGACTGGATCTCTGCCCGTAATGACGAGTATTACCTGCTTGTCATTTGCGATAACATGGACCGTGTTGTCGGTACCGGCAGTTTGCTTGTTGAGCGGAAGTTCATCCACTCTCTTGGCATGGTTGGGCACATCGAAGATATTGCCGTTGATCAGTCGCAGCAGGGAAAGAAGTTGGGCTTGAGGCTCATCCAGGCTTTGGACTACGTGGCTGCTAATGTCGGTTGCTACAAGGTATGCTTCAATTGAGCCCCCCCCTTTTTTTTTTCCCCCCCTAGGATGTCCCCGTTGCTAATCTGTCCTTATAGAGCATCCTTGATTGCTCCGAACACAACGAGGGCTTCTACCTCAAGTGTGGCTTTAAGCGTGCCGGCCTGGAAATGGCCCACTACTACTAGAATTAAGTTTTGCGGTTAAGGGACTGAAATAAACTGGCGTTGAGATAAATGGGTTGGGATTTGCCTGTGAGCATCCTTCATAATTCCTGAGGGATGTTCTCAAGAATTCTTGTTCGGGTTTACAAAGCCTGGTGTTCGGGACACGGTTGCTTGGCGAATTGGCTCGCCTATTCTTAGACCTCTTGCGGGACTCAAGTCGAGGATACTCAAGGAAGGATTAGAGGAGCGGACATTCTTGACGGTACGTGGCACGAGTGGCTCTCGACCTGTCGACTTCGTGTTGATGACACAGTTTCGAGAGATGGACATGTTCAGATGGTGATTTTATACTTTTGTCGAAGTGATTGCCTAGGGGTAGTCGCCTGCATGTTCACTTGGATAGAGCTAGGATGCCTTGTTACTGCCATCCATTTTATAGACAACATAATAGAGGATCATAATAATGCTATAATGCCGATATTCCAAAACGCCTATAGCCACTTCGTGGCGAAGGTAGTCTTATGATATCTATAACTTCGTCGCACTTGAAGAACAGTGGTGCAACGCCAAGGGAGGACTTGCACCAGATAAGATAAGAGTTCGTACGAATGGGAAGATGTTGAGAACAATTTAAATCCAATTATGACATTATGTCACATCGTAAACTAAAAAACCCGTACAGGAATCTACAGGCCCAGAGCGACAAAAACGGCTATCATGTCACATCCATTTTTCCATTTCCTGGTAAATACCATGGCGCATAATGACAGAGCCTATCTGAGAGCCGTGCGGGAATCTCGTCCGCAAGAAACCATCGCACATACGCCGATTTATTGCATAAAATTTTGTGAAGGAGACACAAATTCCAGCTCCGGAAACCTCCTGAATTCCTTCATACTCCCCAGCCCAAGCCAAACCGCTTCTATTCCGTTTAACGAGACTTGGCGGCAACCTTGGGGGCAGAGCCCTTAGCACCCTGCTTGCTCTGGATGCGCTGGGCGGTACCCTTGCCGGCGGCGGCGTTCTTGGCCTTCTCGGCCTTCTTAGCCTTCTCGGAAGCGGCCTTCTTCTCCTTGGCCTCCTTGATGGCCTGCTGGCGAGCAGCAGCACGGGCCTCAGGGCGCTGGTTGCGGCGCTCCTTGATCACGTCGAGGGAAGCACCAACGATAGCACGCTGGGACTTGACGGCACGGCGGGTACGCTTCTTAGCGACTTCCTGTATGCATTGAAAAATATCCCGTCAGCATTTCTGGTCCTGTCCCAACGCTTCGTCACTTGCAGATATATCCCAGCTCCTTTCCGATGTTTCGGTATCGTGGCTAGTCGACATGTCCATGTTCCATCACCGGACCCAACTCACGTCCCGACATGTCGGACCATTCCGGAAAACCAAAGAAATAACTTCAACCATGGGGAAAACTTGGCGGTACTGACTTCAGAGATACCCTTTCTGTGCTGGCGACGGTAGAGGACAGTCCAGGAGATGCGGCGGGGGTTCTTGCGCTGGAGGAAGAGGGACTCGGACTTTCCATTCTGGAAGCGGAAGATCTTGCTGTCGCCACGGACGTACAGCTTACCCTATAATAGTATAAATGTCAACGAATATATCCTGATAAATTTCGTGTATTTTTGTGCTTCATTTTCTTTATTTTTTTGCATTGGTGGATTGGCTGGCTCGGGGTAGCCTGGGCGAGTGTTTCGTATATTCGGCATGGAAGAGAGGGTCTCTCTTGCGGAAGTGGACAAAACGCACCTTTCCAGGGTAGATCTTCTGACCGCTGAAAGAATCGTCGTAGGTACGCATCTTGAACGTCGGAGATGCGCAACGAGATGTTGTCGGTTGGCGTTGGGTGGTTGAATCGTATCGGTCGCTGCGGCGAGCTGTTCGCGAGACGCTGACACAATTGTGGTGCGGTGCGGAGCCTCGCTAAAGTGCGACACGTGACCTCGTCTGCCCTTCCCCGTTCGCAACTTCAACTTCTATGAGACATCTGGGGTGACTATTGTTATTGGGGGAATACTTGTTATTCATGATATATTGGTTTAGTTCTTGATGCTACTGGGATTAATTTTCATAGTTTTACGATTGGTTCTCTTGTTGGCATCATGAATTGTTCGATTCAAGGTCCTCTCGTCCATAGAGATTCGGCTTCAATACATGTGAAATATGACCAGATATCTCAGCATAAATCAAAGTCCGCTCGCGCTTGAAACTCATCTAAGTTCTCAGCAATACTCACTGCGATAAGAGGCTTTTCCAGTGTGCCTTCCGTAGCCAAGCTGGTTCACTAAAATATCAATCGTGCCAATCGCAGAGTTCCAAAGGATTCGGCTTGCATTCCTATGGCAAGTATAACGTTAACCACCATACAAGTACTTGTAAGTGACTTAGAACATAGACAAAACAGAAGGACTATTACCGTGCATTGAATATCACCACATATCTCACTTGGGCATCTGCCACAACAGTTTGGACATACACGTCTGCCGCAGCCTCCGGGTTCGCTACATAGGGAAAAGGTACTCATGTCTTTGACATGCGAACCCAGCCCCTCAATCATCTGCAACATATGTCTTGCATTGTTGGTTTTCTCGGGCTTAGTTTCCGGATCGGCAATTGTCTGCTGAGCTTCTGCATATCTGCAGCATGCTACGCTACAGATTGGGCAGTTACCGCGACAAGTAGTGCACCTCAGGTTCACGGTATTCCATTGTCGGCTATCATCCACTCGGCGTGGAGACTTGGAATCAGTCGGAGATACCGTTCTCACTTCAGTTCCAGTGAGGCTACGGATATGTGCGATCTGATAATGTGAATAACTTTATCAGCTTCGTTCTCACTGAGATCTACTTACCTGTTTTTGGAGGCCCTTTTTGGTATCATGCCCCCCTGTCTCTGGAGACTTCTTTCCTGGAGGGCTCACTCCTGGTGCTTGCTGCTTCATATCCTCCATCGCAGATAGCGAGCCGCCTTGAATGACCTTGTTCGACGTATCTGTCTCCAAGAAGTCCAGATCCAGAAAGATATAATCTGTTCAGATATCAGAGTCAGAAACCAATCAATCACTGGCAGAAAGCCACAGGCCATACGATAAATAACTGAACAGGCATACCGTTAGCCGACCTGACGTACTTCAGAAACTTGGGGGTAGGAGGAGTAGTCGGCGACTTCTTTGTCGGGCTGTGAATACTCCCATGTGTGCCTGTTGTGTTGCTATCCGTCAAACTAGCAGCACCGGAACCAGAGTGTTCCGAGCGAGTTGCTTTATCCTGAGAGTGAATTTGGCAGTTGTACCTATCGGAGTCGCCGCCGGACAGTTTCAAGGGGTTGCCAGTGAAAGTCATTTTCAGCCGTCTTTTGAGAGAGCCTACTCTCGGTGGTTCCTCATTGCTGTTGGTATTGGGTTCAACCTGCTTCACTGTCGTTTCTGCGTTAGTATCTTCATTTTTGGCAAGTAGTGGCTGGTCAAGGGTATCGTCTTCGATTCGAAGGGCAGCTTCGATTTGGGTAATGAACTCTTTTGGGACTCTGCCTGGGTTCATTTCAGTGATTGTTTCGTTCGAAGCTGTGGTGCAGATCCTGAGATGTTTCAGCCACGTACTGGAAGGAAATGGGGGTAAGGAAGGAAAATTGAATGGGTTCATGCTACTTGTCCTTGTTGTTGGTATGATCTTTCTTGACTTTGTTCTTGCCTTTACCCTTCGATTTGCCTTTGGCCTTGCTTTTCATGATATCTGATATATCGCTTGCTGCTTGGGAGGTCGCGTGTGTTCGGCTTCTATTTGTTCATAGCGGATGAGAGTGGGAGGGAGTAAAATCACAGCAGGTATGGTGATCTGAAAGCATGGGACTGTTTATGTTCGTGGGCTGTATTCGCTTTTACGTAGATGGGGGTAGTAGTGAATGATGTGAGAGCGCATCATATGCTGTGGTTGCTTGAAGATCCCTCGCTCGGAAGTTACCTTAATACCTTACGCTTATACTAATGCTGTCTGGGAAAATTTAGTTTGCTTCACTGTAGACCTTTTCTTTTACCCGTTGGAATACACGTATCAGGTCAAAAAAATGCAAAAGCATCTTTTCTATGGCCAATCACACCTATACTGCGACCATCTACTGGTTCTGAACCAGGTAGCATCGTGCTTACTGACCTTGATAGAGTACCAATTGCCTATTTTCAAGAACAAGACAAATCTATGATGTAAGTGTATAAGGTGGTAATTTGGAATATAAATTTCTAGAGAAATGAAATCGTTCTATCAAGGTGCAGCTCTGATCTGATTGCAAAAGCAAATGTGAAAACTGTATACGAGGGTTTGCAGCATCGACTGCTTCGTCGTATAGGAGCACAAAAGGGGCCATGAGCCAGAGCTGAGATCTATCATTGATGTATTGGGAGGACACATGATAGCAGGGTCTCTCTTTCAAAGAACTGACATAAGATCTCTCAGGGGGTATGAGACTGATCCAAAAGATAATTGCCGGTAGGGCCTAGGCTCGCAGTGTAACTTTTGTTTTCATGGTCACATCACAACGTATTGGTTCATATTCCGTCATAGTGGATTTTGTTGAGTCACTCCTCAATAATCTAAGTCATGGCATGTGTTCTGGTCCATTCCCTAGCGGTCTGTATCGCGGCAGGCTCATCCTCCTTCCAACGCTGAGCGACGTCATTTGCGAGCGGGTCATCTGGGTTCGGAGCTCCAAGCAAGGCTTGGATAGAGAGCAGAATCGTACGGATTTGAAGCGCAGGGGACCAGTTGTCTAACATGTATTAGCCCATTGACCCCGTTTGGGGGAGATCCCTGCAAAATGCTTACTCTTCAAGACATCCAAGCAGATACGTCCGAGACGGTCGATGTTGGGGTGGTAGATCTTAGTCAAGAATCGAATCTTAGGAGGAGTCATAGGATAGTCTTCGGGCAAGAACAACTCAAGACGGAAGATACCACCTTTGTTGGCAATTAGCAACCACCTTATTTCTTTCCTCTCGATATGAGAGCATGTGCACTATACCTTCATATGGAGATTGGGCCGGCCCATGGATCGAGACATCGAAATAACGCAGGTTGTCTTCATGAGGCACAGCATTGATACCGGGGACCCTAAGAGAGTCAAAGGGTCAATGAAAGTTCTTTATTTCGACTATGAGTAATTACTTACGGCTCCGCCATAAGGCGCTCAGTCTCCTTCACTATTCTTTTCGGCAACGCCATTTTGAACCACCAGAACTAAACGATAAATGTCCCCGCGTATAATCCAAGGTGGGGCTTAAGAGGTCTGTTTTTAAATTTCCTTTTTATTCCTGCGCACCGGCTGTAACCAGTGAGTGTAAGTGCTTCCCAAGATGGATGCAAATTCCAACACGGAGAAAACGATGCAAGGTTGGGGCCAGGATCCGCAAGGAACCTTTTAGTCTCAGCCGGAAGATCCTATGTGATGAAGGTTACCAAGCCATCAGCAAATGCATCGGGCAGAGGGGTACTCAATCTCACCGCCTTCTGTATTCACTTCGATATGGGAGCGCATACGCGCCATAAGCGCAACCTGCTATCCTAAGCCCGATAGGGATGCCTCGAGGTTCGCCCGTCTCCACACCACCTCAAGTTGCGGAGATGTTATAGCTACCAGAATCAAGTCATTGAAGGTGGCTCAAGCTTTGTCATATGTGTGAGTGTACACATGTACTAAATTTTGGCGCTGGGACTATCACTCCACCTTATCAATTTAACTTACAATGGATCCTTAAAGACAACTACTAGTGCTGTATCATTGCGCAATGTGTGACAATTCCTTCGCTGCCCTCACTTCGTACAATTGACGAGACTGTTCCGAATCCATCGAAATGAAAGGACTTCTTAGTGTCGTACAATTCTTTCCATTAATGATTTGTAGGAAGACCTGAACCCCGATACATCACCAAGGTACTCCTCGGAAGGTGTCGGTAAATACTCTCAAAGGGAGCAGCAAATTGAGCACCGGGGGCTCATCAACTACACAATGGTCGATTCCAGTGAGCCTAAGCCGCTCACCTCGGCATTCGAAAGTCCGACGTTTGGAGAGGATAGTTCTTTCCATGTGGAGCAGCCCGTGGGTTCCATGTCAATATCGCCATGTGGACGAGATGTAGTTCTGGCTTCAAAGGAGGGTCTTCATGTCATCGATTTGGATTCGCCGTATTCGCCGCCTCGATATCTACCTCATCATACACCATGGGAGGTCGCGGATGTTCAGTGGTCACCGTTCGCTGCTCGAGATTATTGGGTTGTGAGCACATCAAACCAGAAGGCATTGGTGTGGAATTTGGCAACGAAGTCCTGCCAGAACTCAATTGAACATGTTCTGCATGCTCACACTCGCGCAATAACGGATATTAACTTCTCCGCTCATCACCCCGACACCTTAGCAACCTGTGCCGTGGACAGTTTTGTCCATTGCTGGGATTTGCGATCCCCTTCTCGACCTGCCATCTCGTTCTCAGATTGGTTTGCCGGTGCAACTCAAGTTAAATGGAACAGACAGGATCCAAACGTCATCGCCAGCTCCCATGATAGATTTCTAAGGATATGGGACAAGAGAAAAGGTGCTTATCCAATTCGGTCCATCGAGGCTCACGATACCAAGATATATGGCGTTGATTGGAATAGAGTTCGCCCAGGAGCGGTGACAACCTGCGCTTTAGATAAGACGATCAAGTTTTGGGATTATACTGTCGAAGGTGAAGAGCCGGAAAAGATCATTAGAACGCCCTTTCCGGTTTGGCGCGCTAGGAACACCCCATTTGGATGGGGTGTTTTAGCAATGCCGCAGAGAGGCAATAGCGATCTTCATCTATATAGTCGCCGAGTTGGGGAAGGTGAAGATCCCGATAAAGACCTTCCTCTAGTGCACAGTTTCCCAGGGCATAAGGGTCAGGTTAAGGAATTCCTTTGGAGAGCGCGCGGAGGCGTGATCGATGGAACTGACCACAGGGATTTCCAGCTAGTATCGTGGGGTACTGACAGGGAACTTCGTCTGCATAGAGCTGATCCAGATGTCATGCGTGGCGTCGGCTACGAAAAGGGAAAGTCATTTATATCCAACATAAACATCACCCGCAATGGCGCCGTCTACAAGAGCTTCCGTGATGAAGATGGCAGTCGAGGTCATGATGATACAGATTCTCTATCCGCATTCCAGGAGTCTGTCTCCAGCTCATCCCGTGCCTTGGGATTGAACACCATATCAGTGCCATACGCTCGGCCGTGGACTCAGGGCGGTAACACGGATTCCAGAATCGGTATGCAAGGCAGAAGTAATCTCCGGACCGATACGAATCCCATATCCTGGATGCGAGGCGTGAAAATATCGGGTTGGGATGTCGAAACTCTAGGTGACGAAATTACGCATGTGGGAGAGAAGTTCACTAAGGTCGATTTTGACTCCGTGGACGTTAGACAGCGGAAGGCAACTATATCTTTGCATGGACCTTGGGGGACGGAAGGTGACTCGCTTTTCTTGAAAGTGGACATAAAGTTCCCTGCCGACTACCCAAGAACTGCAATGCCAACGTTCAGTGTGCAGAAGACATCGGCTGTCACAGATGAACTTGCCGACAAGCTTGTTGCGGAATTGCGTACCATTGCAGAAACTTTCCTCTCTCATAAACGAGGCTGCCTTGAAGGTGTTGTTCGCTATTTGTTAGGTGAAACCAGTCTGGAAGAAAGCATAGCCTGGATTTTGGGCGAAACAACCGAGACCGTCAAATCGCCCATGAGTGGCCAGTTAGAGACGGGAGAGTCAAGCGACGAAGATGAAGTAGGATTGTCTCAGAGTCAAGAGCTGGGGATGAGTTCTGAGCTGCTACGACCAGTCAATGCCAATGTAATGGTACCTGTGGCTAAGGCATGTGGTGCTCTTTGGGCCAATGATGGTCGCTTAGTCTGCTTTTTCCCTACTAAAAAGGACAAGTCGGCGTCTCTGTTGGAGAACCTAGGTTTCAAGGAAATGACGAGGCTTTCGAGGGCAGACAAAGTTTTTGAGGGATTCGGCCGTCTGCAAACTAGTTCGCCCGGGCCACGGGCTTCGGGTACGATGGCCAGCACCGATGATGGTACATCCGATTACTCTGATGACTCGGACGCGGAGACCTCCAGCTCTTCTGGATCTTCTGGTATCCTATCGACCTTGCAACACCGATTTCCAACACCGCAAACATGGCGCAGTGCTGGCAGTCTTGGACTCTATAAGCCGCGGTCCACAGACAATTCTCAGAGGTCAACTGTTGGTATGATGACATCTAAAGTGTCTGAAAACCCACAGAACATTGTATCTATTCATGACTTTACAGACTTGCTGCCAGCAAAACGCGAACTGGCAAACAAATACCGCATCTGTGGTAAAGGTACCGATGTATGTGCTCACAATGCTGCGGTTGCTCTCGATCATGGCTTCTATGAGCTAGCTCGGATATGGGGCCTCGTCAAACTGGTCTTGCACAATAATAAAAAGTCTGCCCCGACATCTGGCCTGGGCACGGGTGAGAGACCCCGGCATATGCAGAGAAAAGACAGTGCCGTGGATCTGAGTTATGATCTGGGAAATCAAGATCAGCATCCAAAAGATGCTGCCAATAGTCTGATACAATGGGGAGACCATCCCTTCGGTGGACAATGGCTTGTTCCTGCCCTCTTCGAACATTTTGAACGGGTCGGTGACGTACAGATGGTTGCAATGCTCAGTTGTGTTCTGCATGAATCAGATCATGAGAAGTACTCGCCGAGCGAGGAGTACCGTCCCAGCAAACCAGTATCAAAGAAGGTAGACGACCAGTCCTTATCGTTAAGTAATTACGCTACCCATGCAGCCTCGCATAGTAAATTTCACACCACAACTCCACTGGGATCTACGCCGAAAGACAGCCATGCTACACCCATCACTCAGAGCTCTGGACGATCGTCTTCTGAAATTTGGCGTCCTGACTCGACTCCTCCCTATTCCACAGGCACAACTCCTCCTTTAGCATCGCGTACTGCAGGATTTACAACAGAGAGGAAGGCTATGAGCCATACTGCCTCCATAGCTGCCTCACCTGACCAACAATCTCAGCCGCGTAGTGCATCAGGCCTTGGTTCTGTTCTTGCTTCTTCCCTTTCCCGATCTTTCACTTTTGGCCCCTCATCAGCCTCACCACCAGCCAGTGCGTTGTCCCGAAAAAAGCAAAGCCCCAGCGGCAGCCCGAACACGACCGGGGGGGTATGGCCTACGAGTACTTTAACATCCAAACCTGTGTCAGCAGTTCCTGACTACCTCACCACATCCACTGCTCCTACCTCTCAGACACATTCTGATACCGAGAGTGAAAGACCGGAAAAGGCACAAGCATCGAGGTCACGAGCGAAGCCACGGGTGACGTTGAAAAACCGCAACGCTTTTGAGGGTGACGGCGTCACACAAAATACATTCATTGAAAGCAAGAAGGACGGATTGTATCGGTCGTACCGAGAGGCATACGCCCATTTGCTATCAATCTGGGGCCTACCTATACAGCGCAGTGAAGTCTTGAAAGTTGGGGGAGCCAACAACCACTCTAGCGATACGGACTTCCGTCAATGGGGTTACAGCAGTCCGAGGTCATCGCTTTCACTTCCGACCCTCAGACATAGAGGTTCGGTGAATTCGACCCTGGAATCAGGTAACCAAGGACTGGAAATTCAACGACACTGCATTCGGTGTGGCCGCCCCCTGCAAATGTCAATATTCACTAATGAACCCGTGACGGAGATGGCAGCCAAAACCCAGATAAAGGGAGATTCTAAACCCACGATCTGCCCAGGTTGCAATCTGAAACAACCTCTCCCCCTCAAACTCCCTTGCGTTATATGCGGGGAAGTGGTTGACGGAATGCTCACGCCTTGTCTCAATTGCGGCCACGTCAGTTGCTTTGACTGCCATCAGGGCTGGTTCTCTGGGTTATCACCTGAGCTACAAGATGGCACGGCCAATTGCGCTATAGGCATGCACGACAGTGACCAGGAATACCAGTACTGTCCCACTGGATGTGGCTGCAAATGCTCGGAGCACATCGTTACAGACATTCCGAGGCCGTGGAGCCCATCCTCGCCGACACCAGATGGCGAGACTAGTCCTTTGACCCTATCGCGGAAACAACCAGATATTATAACCAACGTTGGCCAGCACGAAGATGATCTCGATCAATGGCATACATCACCATTTGCCTCCCTTGCTCGGGGCCTGGGGGGTGGATTGAGTAGGGGGTTACGCCCCAAAGAGGATAGACGAAAATCCAAGTCATCTATTTCTGGATTTGTACCGAAACGAACTGCCATGAATCAAGTGGAAAGTACATGGCAGTAATTTGTATGGTTTGAGCGTTTGAGCTTTTTGGGAGCGAATTACCTATACCCCTATGTTGTGTTTATTCACATTTATATATCTGTTCTTTAGCCCGATTGGCATCTTGATACCTCTTGTCTCATACAAACGCTGCTCTTGTCTGAACCTGATTAAGTCACCACTCATATCCATCGTACAATCACCCAACCTATTTCTGTATAATCCTAGATATGACTATTCATTGCTTCCAGAATGTAAAGTCATAAATAAAATCATATCATCCGCCCCTATCCCACTAAATGACCACAGCCACATGATCATCCATGTAATCCCCAATATTTCCCAAGAAACACGACGCCAAAATCGAAACGCCACCAAACGCAATACTAGCATAATATACCCACTTATAGCTCTCCGAATAGGCCAGCTGGCCTGCCGCCACAACAGCCTGATACGCGGTTTCATTTCCTGCGATTCCAGGAATATTCCGCAGTTCATCTAGTAGCGAGGCACCAGTGAGCTCGATTGCTTCGGCGATGTAGGTAGTATTCGTGATGTTGAGCTGTGTGAGCATGACACCGCCGATGTAGTGTTCGGCATTTGGGACGAATTTGGATATGAAGACGTTGTAGTAGATCGTGTAGCCGATGCTGCCGCCGACTACGCGGATGGAGAGGGTTAGGGCGGAGATAGTCGCAATTAGGTCCTATGGGGAGGTGTTAGGCTTTTCTCTTCTGATTTATTCTGCTTGAATTGCAGGGACGAAATGCTCACATCTGGACAGATGATGGTTGTCATGATGGAGGCTGGAACTACGATTCCGCCGATACCTATACCGGCGAGGGTGAGGAGGCCCCATAGTTGGTGCAGGTTGTCGGGACGGGCAATTGCGATTGCGCCGCAACCTAAGACTGTTAGTTAGGTCTTATACTGTAGAATGGTAGTGTTGGTGATGTACAAACCAGCGGTCATGAGGACACTGCTGATGATCAATAATTCTTTATTGTGGCCTTTTAGGAGACTCAGTAGCCACAATGTGATGCAGGCACCGCCCATGATGCCGAATCCGACGGGTAAGCTTCTGACACCGACTTCAACTGGGTCATGTCCGTATACGTTGAATGACTGGGTGGGCCAGAACATGATCACAGAGAAAAAGTTTGCACCGGAGATGAAGGTGATAACTAGGGTTAGACCCAGGATACGAGGTTCTTGCTTTAAGCGACTGGGGAAGATAGGGTACTTTGCGCCGTAGACTTCCCAAATTCCGAAAATAACTAGGAAAGCGAGTCCGAGGATAAGTGGTGCGAGGACATGCGCCGATGACCAGGGGTACTGTAGCACTGGTTAGCCTCGGGGTTCAAAAAGAGTTAAAGTATTGATGTGATGTAAGATCGTGATACCTGATAACCGCCCCATTGCATCCCAGCCATGAACAGGATTAGTCCTACAATGCTGAGGAAGCCACCGACATAGTCAACCCGAGATATAACCTCTTTAGGAGACAATCCCTCCGAATTAATTCTTGGTGGCGGATAATAAAATAATGCCGTGATCAACAACCCGAAACCATTCCAGGCACCACAGAATGCCCCAACGTATCGCCAACCGCTATGGGCTGCTATAAGCTGAGCCCATAATACAGATGGGCAGAACGGCACTATAGTGAAGATCAAAACGGCGACATACGTGCCTCGCTGTCTGGTAGGCGCCATTTCAGACGTTGCAGCCAATGCGGTCAACTCGTTGACGCCCGCACCTGCACCTGCAATGGCCATTCCACCTAGTAGTAGTGGTTAACCAGAAAAGGGCCATGCTAGGAAGCTAGAGGCTTACCAATGAATGTATTCATCGTGTGCGCTGTGCTGCTCACAATCATCCCGATACAAATGAGCGAGACTCCAATTAGGGCAACATAGCGACGGCCTATCAGATCGGAAAGGGATCCAACAAATGGACAGACACCGGCAAGGGCGAGGAGGTTAGCTAGGACCTGCAAAACATCAGAGAATTGTAAGCTCAACTGTTTCATAGAATATGGGAAGACATGGGCACACACAAACCAAACCCATCGATCTGATCCACCTATATCTCCATAGATATAGGGCGGAATTCCTCCTGCTCATCGATTAGTATAAAGGATGTGAAGCATGGTTTCGATCCAAACTCACCAAACAGATAGACAGGAATCTGACTTCCAGTCCATAAGAAGGCCATGGCCGTAAAGCCCATAAAGCGGCGGAAAGTCATCTGGCATTCAAGAAGAACAGTCACTTTTTCCAACATTCTTGATTTGTGGAACGTTTATAGAAATATTGTGATAAAGCTTACAGGAGACTCAGACCCATGCTCACCCGACTCACCCGACTCATCCGCATAGCCACCAGATCCTACATCTTCTTGATGACTATAGCCCTGTTTGTCATGGGTATTGTCCGTGAGTCCAACAGTCTTTTCGTCTACTTGCGATTGAGTGAAGTTATTGGCGACCTCCATGACTGCTGCTGCTTTCCTGTTCTAACAGGAAGGAACAGAGAAATGTTTGAGTTAGAAGTTCAATCCACACAATTTTGCAGCAGGCACATAAGGCAATCATAAGAAGTCGAGCAAATGTAGAAGTAGGGTCAACTATACCAAGCTTTCCCCAAGCGCAGGCCTGCATGATATATCCACTGAAATCTGGGGACGGGTTTGCCTTCCGTAATAAGTATAGATCAACAATCCTTAAGGATTGCGACCCCATGGGAATGATGATACTAATCGAAAGTGGTGGCGACTGAAGAGACACACCAATCGGAGCTTTATAGAAACGAGCCTAGAACTCGGTGATATTTCCAAACCGAGACGCAGCCGAGGCGTTTTGCAAGTTTCTGAACTTGTCAGTGCGCCATTGCCGAACCACGTCAAAGGGAAATTCCGGGGAAAATGCGGGGGAAACGTGGAGAAGGCGTCATGGTCGATGGTCTAGACAATACATAGTAAGTAGCTTGAGTCAGATTAAGACAACACACGTTTCAGACCATCCCTCATGTAAGCCAAGTTTGAGAATAAGAACATCAACTGCCCGGATGGTCTAGTGGTATGATTCGCGCTTAGTATGTCTCTCTATTATCATCCAATTCATCCCTTTCAATTTACTAACAATATCTCCAGGGGTTAACCCAAAGCATTGACTGCGCGAGGTCCCCGGTTCGATCCCGGGTTCGGGCCTTCATTTTTTTCATTTTAATTTTTCTCCTCGTTAATTTCTAACTGCCTGACTCTCTGTTTTTTCTTTTCTTTTCTTTTCTTTTTTTTAAAGCTTTTGCCTCAAAGGCGCCTGTGAATCTTGTCAAAGGAGTACATAAACTAGACGTCCCAAACCACAGTCACGTAATAGTGAATTCACTCTATGGGAGAGTCTTTATAGTCTTGTGAACCTCCCTCTCTTCAAAATTGCTATATATATACAAACAGACAAAGAATGCCGCGCGTTGTGGAATTAAATGACGTTGCCTGTGAACTGGGAAAGTCACTCAAACAGGTTCGTCACGTCTGGGCAAAGCCCTACCGTATTGTCTAATCCCCCTATACTTGGCTCCAGAATCCAATTGTTGCCTCAAGAATAAGGTATATGTAAGGCAGTCCTATCTAAAGCATCGAGTCAACTTGGAGGTGAAGATCCGTTGACAGATAGGAATAGCGGGACTCTTGCATCTCAGTACTGCTCCCCAATCTCCTCAAGTTTATACTTCTTAGGAACAACGAAGAGAGCAGATGCTTGAACACAAAGCCTTCCAACCGGGTCGCGTACTTCTCCCGTCACGTAGGCTTTACGATCTGTGGTTTGTACTCGATCAATTGTCGAGTGGAAGGTATAGAAGTTGCCCGAATATACCGGAGCGCGGTATTTAATCTCAAGGTTTGCCGTAACTCCTGTACGCTCTGGGAAATTGCGGATTGCGACACGGCCTAGATTCTCATCAATGACAGTGGCAAGAGCTCCGCCGTGGACAACAGTTGGCCATCCTTCCAGGCCATTCCCGAGATAGACAACGCTAATGGCCTTCCGCTCTTTGTCGTTCCAGAAGACTTTCTGTATGATGAATCAGCTAAAAGTTTTGGCTAAGATTCGACTGATCCAATGCAAGTAGGAGAAGCTCTGTACGACAGTTACACTGCCCTAAACTCTCTTTATGGTGGCAGGTTCACAGCATGTTGCACAGTAGGAGCCTAGTGAAGAGACGAACCTGTAGCGCTAATCCCCGACTCCCTCTCAATGGACCAGATGTAAACCTCTGCTTCTTGTCCTCCTCGGAATAATTCCCATACACGTCCGCTTCCACGTAGTCCGGATTGTTTCGGAGCTCCTGCACAATAGGCAGCCCATTTTCGTATACTCGACGAATCTCCTCCAGTTTTAGGACATCCTCTGGCGTTGCGGGTTCTACCGGCGCAGAAACCTTATTGTCCATCCATTTCCCTGCCGTGACGCCGAGGCCACCAAAGATTCCGGCATAGATCAATCGTCGCGGCCACTTGGATCTTTCAGGTGCAGGTTGATGGGTTATAGTGCTGTTGCTTCTTGAGATCTGGGGATCGAATCGCAATGACAGCTGAGACTGAGTTCCTAGGCTGCGTAACCGGGATTGTAGGGCTCTACGGGTGCCAAACATGGTGCTCACATCGCAGTTTTGCGGGTGGTCAAGAAAGTTGAATTAGCTAAGAACTAATTGGTATATATGCCGAGGCATCTAGCGTTAGATCACGTGATATATTATGAGAATACAATTCTTGATTGCTCTTGAGCAGCTGGCTCCTGATATTTTCTTTATTCTAACCGTTGAGTCTATCCAACTTAGCTCGCCTGAAGGCTTCCCTGGCTCAGAAAACTTCCCTTGGCAGCATCAAACGAACAGGATCAAGCTGGGTGCCACGACAAGGATACAACACGAAGAAAAGCCAAGCTGTTTTCACCACTGATGCAGACGTCACTCGTGTTAAACATGTGCACATAATGTTATTATCATCATTCAACCTGTTATTTCATGAAACCAAGGCCGTTACTGCGAGTATCCTTACTCCGCAGTGGGCAGGTCAATCGCGCGGTACAGGAGGATCAATGCAGAATGAGACTCGCCTATAAAATTGTCAGCAAAAGACCTATGTTATTATTTTTCCATAGATGACATACCGCCACCAGAAAGAGTCTCAATCTTCTCCGCCTCCACTTCAGTCACTTTCTCATCGTTGAACCACCACCACTTTCCATCCTCTTCCTTGTTTCCATGGGCTTGTTTCTTGACATATGCAGTGTAGTGGCCACTGTCAGCGCTGGCGCCTTGATGTGTGATTACTCCCCGTAGCTCATAAAGGCCTGACTTGTTGGTACCCTCGTCGGAGCGAAGCTTAGGGTCGATAATTTCGGCAAGCTCCTTCTTTGCTGCAAGGATAGAAGCCGCCTTCTCAGCTTCGTATTCTGCATCGGACTTGAAGACGTCAGCCATTGCGGAATCATCATCCTTATCGGTAGCCTTTGATGCATCTTTCCGTTCTTCGGCGGCTTTCTTCTTCTGCATTGGCTCTAGAGACTCAGATTCCACTTCGGTAGATTTATCTTCATCCCGCTGATGGGCAAGCTTCTGACGCTTGCGAGCACGCTCAACATCAAGTTCTTCCTTTCGGATCTCCCGTACTTTGTCACGAATAGGAATAAGTTCCTTCTTGAGCTCATCTGTGCAGAAGTCTACCGCATCAAGCTCGGCAGGGAATGTAACTTTACGCATGATCTTGGCCTTCTTCTGGGTTTCGCGCTTCCAAAAGAAACGAACGAAGTGCACAGTCAAGTATTTGGGCAATCGAGCAATGCGTGAACGTTTTGTGTAAATAGCATCACGGTCTAGAGTAGGGGAATGTTTTTCAATCTTCTCTTCAAGACCGGCTTTTATGCCATCATGCAAATGGTTTGTTTCTTTACCGATGTGACAATCAAGCTTGTAGAAGACGTCTGAGCTTGGCGTGGCTTGCTCGCCAGCCTCTTTCGCTCCCGGCTCATCGCATTCCGTCACAGACTCAAACCTTCCAGCAAGGTATTTATCCACAAAAGATACTTCATTGCTGGATTCGCCCTCGCCCTCCTTGATTAGTAGCTTGTTCCGCAGTTGGGTTACGATTTGAGACCATGCCTCTTCAGCATCTTGCTGGGCATAACCATGACCGTTTCGATCTCTCTGAGCGAACTGAGGGAACACATTTCTCAAAGCATTCAGGAACATAAGAGGCGGAAATCCCTCCTGCGTTTCAGACATTTGCTTGAATAGATCCCGCAAAGAAGCAGTCAGGTCCATTGAGGCGCCGAGACCACCAAGACCAAAACTGCTGAGATCCGAGAGGTTCGATGATCCACCAGCACCTGCCGAAGGGCGATATTTCAGAAGCTCCTGTTGGAGCTCGGGAACACTTCTCAATGTCTGCAGCGTAGAGTTGAGGTAGCAAGTATTACCAAGGTTCTGAAGACCAGCTGGGGTAGCTCCCTCTGCTTTTGCAGCCTCAGCCTCCGTCATATCCTCCAGGAACTTCACTGCTTCTTTCGGGCGGCCCAAATCCCCGGAGCCTTGGCCTCCAGATGGCGTGCCCATCATCATGAATGTCTGGCCCGGTTTGGCGTTGAGCGAGGACAATGGAGTTTCATCCTTGAGTTGTCCTCCTTTGACCAAAATTTTCTGTCGTTCGGGTTCCACGCCGGTGAGGGAATATAATTGGTACTTAAGCGTTTCACCGTTCGAGGATAGATCAAGCTCGACCTCATGACGTTTGCCCTGGTGCTTCACGATAACTGTGATCTATGTTAGAAATTTTCGAAATTATGAGAAAATGCATACAGAAAAGTAGAATCAAATACCTGGTATGGATGCCATTTTGTCTTGATTTTTGAGAGAAACCTCAGAAAGCCACTTCTTGACTTCTGCTTGATGAAAGTGACGCATAAACAAGAGCATCGTCACCCGTTACGCTTCGGGGAGGCGTGGGGCATGGAGTGCAAACAAGGCAAACGCAACATCGCGGCCTTAGCGGGACCGCCGTCTGTGGCTCCTGAAGGTGGCACTTGACACCTACATCTATTCCTATGCTTGCTTCCTGGGCCTGGATATAGACATAAATCATTGAGCCTTCGAATTTGTGACCTGTGGGTCTTTTGTCTGACTTCACTTACGCAAAACAAGTTGTTGATGGGCTCACCAGCGGAGTAACAACGGAGACCCCAGTATACGTCACACTTCCAAGATGGTGAGCTAGGTCAATCCGAAGCTAACAATTGATCGCTAACAATTGAAGTCTCAATCATTGCGTCCATATCTTCAATGCGTCCGAGCCTCTCTCACCTCCGCGCTTGCGGTTTCGAACTTCGCTTCCCAGACGTCCGAGAGACATAATGTACCAGAAATCGAGGCCCAGAGCTCTCCTGAACTCCTTCTTAACCCGCTTACCGTCTCTCGCAATGAAAATGAGAAAGTCCTCATCGAACCTAGTGTGAACAGTGTCCGTGTCAGCATTCGGATCAAACAAGCGGACGAAATCGAACACAGTATTACTCTCCATCCGGATGCCTGCTTCTCTCCGACATCGTTATAACGATCAGGTCATGCATAGTGTCAGATACTAACAATTATATACAGTTTTGGTCCACAAGTTCACCCGGTTTTTGACGCAGCGAGCCGAATCTTTCTTCATCTTACGCCGGAAGCCAGTAAAGGTGAATCATCTGAGCGTACTTACCACGTCCATGGATACAGTATGCTAATAAGTCAATAGGGTTACGATATCTCATTTCTAATAACGAACCGAAATGTAGAGGAGATGCTCAAGCACAAGTTAGTCGACTTCATCATCCAATTTATGGAGGAAGTCGATAAAGAAATTTCCGAAATGAAGCTTTTCGTATGTGCCCTCTTATCCACGACATGCCCGCGTATAATAGTAGTATTGACAATACGCAGTTGAATGCCCGTGCGCGATTCGTCGCTGAGTCTTTCTTGACACCTGTAAGACCCCATCTAATGACCCCCCGGTACTCTGAAGACTATCAAATTAACCAATAACCCATAGTTTGACTGAATTCTTACTCATAATGTTCATTTGATGGTTCGTGAGATATCCATGACCTCCACTTTTTATCCAATAGCGAGTATTGTACAGGCGATCTGGGCTGGTGATGGGGGCTACTCTGCTTCGCTCAATGATTCGTTCCCTTCCCTAGATCTTGAAGTCATTTGGAGTTTAAATGTATGGTGAGCTTTCTCACGACTTGCTCTTGACAGTAGATTTCGGTATACGCAAAGTACAACCAGACTAGTAACAAGCATTTGAAACCACTATGTTTTATATACCATGGCTGCTTAGCTTCTTGATAAAGTGTAAAAAAGGATGCATGATATAATCAATTGCGCCAAAGTGATGCCTCGGTGTTCAGGGTGGTATAATTGATCATCTTTCACGAGACCAAGATAATACAGAGTGTTGTCCTGTAGCAGTGCACGAAAGGTTGAGTCAATATAGATGCCATAACTAATGTGAGTGCATATTATAGCTTTCTGGTAGCACCTCAATGGGTAAAAACTGTAGGACTTGAATATATCTACATTATTGGATTTTTACTAGTAGCTATTGTGCAATCAACAAGTACTTGGAAGATGATCGGATGTTTCTTCGTAGAAGAAATGAGGGTAAGGTTAACTATTGTGGTACAGGTTGAATTAGAAGCAAGACATATGCTAATACGCCTTTATAGCTCAGTGGTAGAGCGCTTGACTTGTAGCTTGATGATATCAAGAGGTCCGCGGTTCAATCCCGCGTGGAGGCATCGTTTTTTTCTCATCTCAAGTTGCTTTTATCCTCAAGGCCCCTGGCCGTCGCGGTTTTATTATCGTCTTAAACACGCTCCATTTTTGGTACAAGATATAATAAATAGATCTTAATCGGACTCTCGATGAAGTATACGCTCCCAATTAATAGAACCAACCATATAAATGCTCTCATCTGAGGTCAACTCCATACAGTCTCTGCGTTTAGGCATATTGTATAGAGCTTGTTAAGGTTGGCAATCAATTGTACTTCGGCATTCTGTCGCTTATCGGTGAAGGTCGCTTATCTGGCCCGCACCTCTATCGATTCAAGGACAACCTTTTCCATATTGAACCACGGTAATACCCATAACAGAGCTGAATGGGTTGTATGTAAAATAATATACACTCCGGAGTAATTCTATTGAACCACACGGGCGCCTGTCCCGCCTACTATGGTAAATCTGGTAGGCGGTATGACACCCCTCGTGGGGGATTTTCCAAATCTCAATTGCATCCCACTGTAGGCGGTGAAGGGCCACCGTCCCTTATAAATTCGCCTTTATAGCTCAGTGGTAGAGCGCTTGACTTGTAGCTTGATGATATCAAGAGGTCCGCGGTTCAATCCCGCGTGGAGGCATTCTTTTTGCTTCTTTAACAAGCGTACAAATTGGTACGCAGTCGAACCTCGGCTGAAGCAATAGTGGAGGCTGTGTCACAGTGGTAAACACAACTACAACTGTTGATGGTAGAACCACTGTCACTAGTTAAGCTTTATCGAAATTTTTGGCTCTACCACTGATGTACCATTCCATTAACCTTAAATTATACTGTGGCAATGACTTATTGTAAATTTGAAAAAGTATACATCCTGCATTGTATCGACAGAAAAGGAAAAATCGACATGGTTTAAACACTGTACCTGCACTTTTGTCCATAGTTTCTTCAGCCATAGAACCCCCTACTAGGTAGGTCGTAAATAGTCGCCTCCCTCCGGAAATTCGCCTCTATAGCTCAGTGGTAGAGCGCTTGACGTATGTGATCTCTTTCAATTCTTGATATAAATTCATTAAACTAACATTCAAAAGTTGTACCTTGATATCAAGAGGTCCGTGGTTCAATCCCGCGTGGAGGCACATATTTTTTTGTCCTGCCTTTATGAACATAATCAAGATTTCGAGTGGTAAATTTCCATACTATTCGCTCAACTAATCTAAGGTAAAACTTATGCTTTCACTGGCACTGTTTTCTTAGTCGCACCTGCTGTGAGCGACTAATAACAAAGAAAGAATAGGTTGGAAGTCTACAAAAGATTACCCAGAGAATCGGAAATCATGAAAAGATATACTATCTAAGTTTGTCCTATAGTCTGTAGCTTACCCCCTTCCAAGTGGAGGTGGTGGTAACGACCATCGCATAGATGATCGCTGATAGTGATGAACCGTGTATGAGGCATAGCAGAAAAGCAAGAATAGGAAAAGTTGTATGCTATGGGCATGGATTCGGTGGGTTTTGGTGTCATGGGGAATATCATATCGTGGGGCGAGCTTTGCCTACGCAGTATAATAGGCTGATGTCTCACTACTCTATATATTGCTCACCAAAATACAAGTCCCAAGCAGTTCTACCTTATTGCTTTGTGGTTGACGGGGACTCAGCCATACACCCGCCGTAGCGAAGTGATTCAGCACGCATAGTCATTGCTAACCACTAAAAGGATACCGGTATAAAGGTTGACATAAATAACCTCGATAACCTTGGTCTTACTCATGAAAACAAATGTTCCCAACAACAACGCCCCTGGGTCATTCATCGCTCATCTCCGAGACTTGACGCTTGCAGTCCAGATAGTGTCCTAATGTATCAATTAGCTCATAGCATACATCGAGAGAGCCTACAGACACTTACCCTCTCATTCATCTAGGTATAACAGCTATAAGAGTCAATGACATCCCAGGATGCAGTGTCGCACCTTTGTCCAGCATTGCAATAGTACGTGCTGCCAAACGGGTTGCCACGGTCAGCGGTGTACAACTCGCAACGTTCTGTCCCCGGCGGCGGCACTTCCACGCTGCATAGGTTCTCGGTTTTGAAGCCGCTCACATTGGTGCAGCCATCTCCACTTGTCTCCGTTTTCTGGTATTTATCACCGCATCCGTGCCATCTCATGATCATATCGGCAGCTTGGACTCCTGACATGAGAGCCGTGAGAGTAGGTATGGCACTGACAATCTGCATCTCGTCTATTAAAACGATGATTCTATCTTCCAGTTCTGTAGTTCTGTGGCTCTGTGGCCTGTGATGTGGAGTGCGATTGGGGGAGGACGAAGGTGCGCCATTCTGGTGAGTGCAAAAACACATATTTATTGTAAATAGTTACAACTTATCCTATCATTCTGGATATTATATCTATAGTCTCGATATGCTTTGTTACTAATCAATATAGACTGTGCAAGCAGCCACCCTCCTATCTTAGTCACATGGGTAGATACTTACTCAGTTCCCTTATACTCTAAGCGCACGTTTTTTGTAGACATACTAGAACCATTTATTTATCTTGCTATATGTATTTATCTAAGTTGAGGAGTATAGCAGTATTTAAAGCGGCACTCTGGTAAAGTAGTAACAGTCTCTATTCACCCTAACTACAATTGTATAGCTGCATTGTTTGGTTGTTTGCTATATCATGCCTTTACCATTGTATAGCTTGTTATCTATTTTACTTTCTGGTTCAAGCGTGTTTCTATAGCCTATATGTTTGTGAGAGTAGACATGTAATGTTCACATATCTTACCTTCTTCTATGTTATCCTGGTTCTCTTTCTACTCCTCCTTTCCTGCTTGCTTTAGTTAGAACATACTAATAGTTTATATAGAACCAATGCATGGCCCATCTCATTTTCCATCACCCCTCATCACGACTAATCGACTAATCGATTAGTCGTCAATAACTGAGATAAAAATACAAATGAAACACAAGTGAATTCTGCATGTTGCCGTGCACTTCCAACCAAGGCTCTCGGCACTGTCATAGTTGAGATCCCCACGCTTTTCACTCCTAACACAGATCATAATCATCTTTCTCATCACTTCATACCATCCTACTCTTCTTCCAACTGCTTTCCTGATGGCTACCAGGCGCCCAGTTGACCCCTTCACGGGACACAACTCTCCTGGCCCACATCATGGTACATATCGAGGTCGTGCAGGCACCATAGCGCAGCCTTTCCAGACACCAGAGCCGGGTCCTTCTGGAACGCCTAATCAACAGGAGCAGTTCCCGAGTCTAGGAGGCTTATACGCCCATCTTCCTTCTATGGGAGAAGCTGCACGTGGATATTATCCCTATGACCCTGCACAAACCCCAACTCCAACCCCTCGGAACCCTCACCCTTTTAGCCAGCTACGAGCTGTGCATAGCCCACTCCCCGCTCCAGTGCCCCAGCATCCGCTCCATTATGGTCCTCCAGGGCTTCTCTCTCCTGCATTCTACCCCACTGAAGGCACCATGGCTCCTCAGTCTATGAGAGCCGGAGCCCAGGGGCAAGCAGGGTACTTTGAGCAGATCCCAGACCTGAACAAACCGTTTAGCACAGTTGCTATGAGGGAGGAGATGCCTATTGGCAGTTTTGTGCATACTCGTCAGGCACCTCGCTGGGGCGTTATCAAGATATCAAATGTAAGTGAGCTTAGCTTCCTATGAAGGATGCTACTGATAAATGTGAAGATTCCTTATTCAGTTACCAAAAATGAGATCGCGCAGTTTGTAGGACGCCCAGCGCGCCTTATCAAAGGATGCCCGATCCATATTATCATGGAGCGCTCGACCGCAAAAACTATGGACTGTTTTGTTGAAACTGAAACTCAGGAAGCAGCCCAGAGAACAGTTGACCGAATCAACAGCATCTATGAGACTGGCCGAGCACCCCGTCTTGGTCTTCGCCGTGTGGACGTGGAGTACAGTAACCAAGATGCGCTCTTGAAAGATCTCTTTCCAAGGGCCAAATGCATCGCCTGGGAAGATGGTATGCCCAGGGAACTTCCAAACACCGATCCGTACTCCACGGGCTTTTCTGGTTTTATTACTAGTGAAGAGATCGTGGGAGCTATTCGTCATGCTGAAATCCCTCACCGTGTAAGTGAGCTGCTCACGCCCATCTTCTGGAGAGGACTAACATTTTGAGCGCCCTCTAGTCGCCTTTCAGTGTTAAGTGCCCTCAGCGCACCTATGAGTCGACGATCAGTACGCTTTACAAGGTATTATATCATCACCCATTGACCAAACAAACGGAGAATGTGTATCTCACCTTGCATATAGTTTCCATGGTACGCCACAATGTTGTACACGGTCGATGATCGCAATCAACTGTTTGACCTGACGAAGCGGCACTTGATATCTCTTGCATCCCGTATTGACAGAACTCAAACCATGGGCCTGGACCAAAATCTGCTGCGAGATCTTCTCTATGCAGGATTTAATTGTCCGGCCTTCAACGAACGTCAGAAATATACTCTGTGTGTGAATTCTAACCTTGCACCAGAGATCGCTAGGTTTCCAGATATCAGCAAGTGGTTTCCGTTCGACACTTTAGTGCAGCTGCCCGACTTTAACAAGGATACAATCTTGGTAAGCCCTTTGTCCTTTTTCATTGGAGTCCACTCCCGACTATTTAACCTCCTTCCCTTCTCTTGGACAAAGGACGCTTACGTGTCATTCTTCCAGTATTATGCGAACTTGATATCCAGGGGAACGATCCCCGATCATGGAATCCCACACCTGACGAACACTTTCCCGCAGGAAAGGAATGATCTTCGCTCTCCGTACGGTCGTGTGTGGTTTGAGTGGCCCTCGAATATCACCAAAAAAGTGCTCTGGGAAAAGGCCGTTCGTACTGAAATGCAAATACTAGGCAATCTTGTCCTTACTGGTTGGGTGACAAAGGATAACGAAGCCAAAGCTAGACTGGCAGCTGCGGGACCCTCGTCTTCAACCAGACATGACACTCGACGCACTCTCAGTGGTTCAGTTGCTGGCTCTGAAGAAAGCCTAGGTCTCCAAACATCCTCCAGACTTGAGATCTTCGCCACTCCATCGCGCCGTGTGACTGAGGCTGGTCCATCTCATTGTCCAGAGCGGGAAGAGGCGGATGAAACCCCTCGTCCATTCAATGACAGCGATCAAAGCCCTTGGACCCGGAGGCTTCTCATGTTCCCCCCAGGCACAGCAAGGGAAGGCTTTAATTTTGGCCATCGAAACACAAAGTCCTCTCCGGGTAATCTCACACCTTCTGGTGTTTAGATTTCGGGCTGCACGTTGAGATCCAGAGTTCAAATAGTGCTATCTGGTCCATCTGTCATTCTATGACGATATTCCAACTACTTCCTTGGGTTTGTTTACGAATCAAATGGCTTTTGTTTTAAAGTCCACTGTTTTTTGCGTTCAGCTCCTACTCACTCAGTTTGGTGTTGGATTGTCCTTATCTCCAGATGTGCTGCACTCGATATCGTGTCATGGATCATCTGAAGAGATAGACACGTTTGAACTGATTAGCTCCGACTTGAATAGGATATCTGGACAGTTTTGGGCCTGCGCAGGAAGCACATCTTTCTTATGCTTTGTTTTCCCTTTTTTTTTTACTATGGTTTTGCTTGTACTTTTGTTCTTCCTTCCATTGTTCCCATGGGTTTTAATCAGTTCTTGGTCATCTCCATGACATGAGACCCTAAAACCTACACCATATGGGGTTCGATGTCGACAGCGTTCAAGATCTCTTTTTCTTTTTCTTAAGTTCTGTTGCGTTGCCATTTTCTCCATCGTTCGTCTAAAGTTTTATCGATTCATAATGTCCTTCGTGACAGAGAAATAATGCCAAGGAAGTCCGATGTGAATAACGCTATTAGTTGAATCTAGTGGTATTTCTGTGTCTATGATTCCATCTGGTCACGGTTCCTTAGTAGTTTCCAACGTATCTGGAACTTCGTTGTCTTTCGCCTGGTCCTGGAGAAGTTTCTTTCTCATCAGCCCCTCAGCTCTCATCCTCTCTCGTCGTGTCTGGGCATCCTCCCATCCCGGAGGTTTGGTCTTCTTGTTCGTCTTTGGCCCTCGATTCGCAGAGTATAAATCCAACAAACTCTCCCGGAATCTTGTTTTCCGTTCTGTATTGATTGCGAACCTTTCATTTGAGATTGCAACCAACATCTGCAAATACTCCTCTGTTACCAAGCTGCGGATGACTGGCTCGTCGGTTGCTGTCGCATCGTCGGCGTCACTATCTTCACAGTACCCGATCACTGACTCCAGGGATAACCCTGCAGAGCGCACAGCGACGATCGGACTAGGACCTTCTTCACCCTCCAAACAGCGCAAACTCTGTAGCCCGCTTTCGCGGAAACCAGAGCTCGAAGCGGCAGATAATACGGGGTGAGCATGTTGTAGCGTTGCTGTCATAATGTGAAGAATCTGTGGAAAGCGTTCTCAGTACTCGCGTGCAGCAAATTGGTGTTTTAGCTAGTCCGTTTCCAAATCCCAGCACCAGACCGAGTGGTATAACTCAGCAACAATAGAGGCTAAGCTTTGACCTTAAGGGGAACAAAAGAACGAGACATATGCCCCAAGCATACAAAGAAATGCAAGCTTTGTTTAAAGGTAGACAATACCGTGGACAGAAGCACTTCCTTCGAAGAAACAAAGAACGCAGGATTGAACTAACGTACCAGAGGCTCGAAATGGAAGCGCACGAGACGCGGGGCTTTTCCTTGTTTGTTCAGCCCGGGGGGTTTGCCATCTCCAGGAACCATTCCAAACAACGCATGCAACGACTTCGCTTGAGGACCGCTTCTTTCAGGACTTTTGCTGCCACAAAGTGCCCCATAGCCTTGCAAAGGGTCGTGAGACACATACAGCCATTTGCCAGCACCTTTACCCCCCGAGGCTACAAACTGTCTCCCTTGCTCCTCCTCCTGCGGCTTCGCTTGCTTCCTCCGTCCCTCTAGGAACACGCTGATACGCCCCGCGCAGCTACTAGTAGTAACCAAGCCTGGGTGAGCATTAATGTCATCGATGAGGTCCCGAATACCCTCATCGACAGACCCCTTGGGCGAGAGGTCTGTGTACTCTGCATCGGGAACGGAGAGTTCTGCAAGAATTTTACGCTTGCGAGATTCAAAAACCTCGGGTATCGCGCTTGCTTCGACTTCAATCATGGCTAGCTTGATTTAATTTAGTTTATTCCCCCCTCATGTGGAGTCGTTGTTGAGCAAGGGATAGAAACAGGTTGGTTAAGGTGCGCTGCTGTCTGGAAAAAGAACGAGGCTATCGGCTAATATCTTTGGGTGAAACAGGTGGGTCAAATGAATATTAGACAAAAACAAAATCGATAGAACCAGAAGAGTACCAGAAGATATACTCCGTACAGTACAACAAGTGAGTAACTTTGTTCTTAGCCCGACAAATCCTGAAATGGTTTCATTCCGAGAGTGACGACGTTTTAACGACCGCACTAACTTTAGTAGTTGCGGGAGGCAAAGAATTGCCCGCTTTCCCACGCGAAAACCGCCCCAGAAGTTACCAACCTCCTGGTCGCATTCCCGGTTCCTTTTGAACCGTCTCAAAGTCTATCAGTCACTAATGACCCCATAGTTCGGTCAAGAAGTTTACAAGCCGCCGCGGGAGCTTATTAATTACTATACCTCCCAGATCTCCCCTATAAGTTGTTTCGCTCCACTCTTGCATAACTAATTGTGTCTACAAAGAACAGCTTCAATTTACGTTTTCTTCACAAACGGAGAAGAAGAACCCGAAAACCTTTCTCTTGCCATGCCTCGTCGATCGTCTCGGGCCGTTCCCGCGTCGGCGGCAGCACCAGCGCCAGTACAAAAAAGGCGCGCGTCTGACAGACTCCCCACTGCCTCCAAGACAGGACCAAAAAGACCAAAGTCCGACATCACCACTACCACCACTGGAAGGCCCGTCAGGTCCACCTCAAAGAAGAGCAAATATTTCCAGGAAGAACATTCAGATCATTTAGAGACTGATTCCGACAATGGCTCCCCGCTGGAGGATTCCCCCTCCAAGTACGACGACTCCGCATCGGAGGATGCGGAATCAGATGCATATACCACAGCCGATGAGGCGACAAAAAATCCAAAAAGAAAACCCGGGAGACCACGAAAGAGCCTAGGAAGCAACAAGGGAGACACCGAAGGTACCAGAAAGAAATTGGACAGTGTTCTAGAAGGTGATACGAACGAAGCATTGAAAGATAAGCAGTTGTGGAAGGAAGGTGTCAGAACCGGCCTTGGACCTGGAAAAGAGGTCTTCATCAAGAAGCCCAAAGCAAGGGAGGCAGGTGCTGTGCCCTACCAAGAGGATACCTTGCATCCCAACACCTTCCTTTTTCTTGTGGACTTGGCGGAGAACAATGAGAGGCCTTGGCTCAAAGGTAACAATATACCATGAGGAAATCAGGGCTCTGAATCACAGCTGACTATGATCACCTTTGATAGCGCACGATGCGGACTACCGTGCTTCTAAAAAGGATTGGGAGAGCTTTGTTGAAAGTCTCACCGAGAAGATTTCAGAGATGGATAGCACGATTCCTGAGTTGCCTGTTAAGGACCTGGTGAGTGCTAGCAGTTAAATTGGCATAAACAGTTCCAAAAGAGATGGCTGCATTAACGAGTATTTGCGTTGGTCCAGGTATTCCGTATACATAGGGACATTCGGTTCAGCAAGAACCCTACTCCTTATAAAGTACGTTTGAACTTTGAGCATTTTCAACTTCTAGTGACCATCCCTTACGGGTACTGGATTGTATCGCCAGGCTAACAATCGGGGTTGGGCAGACAAACTTTTCAGCTGCCTGGTAGGTAAAAGAACCAATACAAAAAAAAAAAAAAAAAAAAAAAAAAAAAAAAAAAACAGTCAATTAAACAACCTCATAGGTCACGCACAGGCAAAAAGGGCCCTTACGCTGCTTATTATGTCCACTGTCAACCTAAGTCCTGCTTTGTCGGTGAGTAATACCAGAAGAATATTTCAAATGTTTCCATTTGTTCGAAAGGCTATGAGCCAATTGCCTCCAAACATGATGTTGCACGGTCTAGAGGGCCTTTGCCTCAACTTCTGGGAGTCGCATATATGTCATGATTAGATCTGTCTCCACGTTGGGCACGGCTCATTGTGGGCCAAATGCTCTAAGCCTAGAGCAATGGGACGTTGCACGACATCTTCTATCCAACCGAATCATTGGCGGGGAAAGTATGTGCTAATGGCATGTCTCGGGTGGGCTTAGGTTCAGGTCTCTGGCATCCAGAGGCGGACAAACTTGCGCTTATGCGAGAGGATATCGACAGGAATTCGCATCGCTTGAAGGCGGTCTTAGGAGAGGAAGGAATGCGCCGCGAAATTTTCAATGGGGTACCTGATGAAGAGAAGGCTGTTGAGGCTTTTGTCAACCAGAATCAAGAAAGCGCGCTCAAGACCAAACCCAAGGTAGGCAACTCTTCGTTCCTCAAACATTGCTCCACAGCTCAAAGGGTCTTGTGACCTTATGGTTCTTATTCTCCCACCTATGCCGGTTTAATTGCATCAAATCGTTTCGTTGGTGAGATAGATGCGCCCGTTCTTGAGGTTCGAAGGGGAGTCGGTCGCGTCTCATCACTAAACATGACGTTTGGTGCTCGTTAGTTTTCATCTCAAATGACACAGGTCTCCATCAAAGTCCTGTCTCTGAACATAAATAGAGCTAAACACGCCAGCCTGACACATGGGTTAATGGTGGAGGTGCCCAGATACAACTTCTGCGAAGTGCTAGGGTCGCCATGGACGTGGGATCTCCATTATCGTCAACAAACTGCTAGTGTCTCCAGCATCATAAATTGAGGGAGAAAATCATATCGGCGGGACGATCTAGCTCTCAGTGGCCATTCTCTAAAGATTCGTTGCCTTGTGGGCGTCAACAGCCTTCCGTGGTAGCAAGTCTAGAGACCAATGTTGATGGATGCAAGCGCAGCAAGCGCGAACGGGCGATCCCGACTGGTCTACCCGTCCGGGTCGCACCCTTTTCCAACGCGAGCCCCTGGGGCTTTGCCTTGGGTTCAACGTCATTACTATTCTTCGGCCTAGCACGGGAATTCCTCTGGCGTCCCACAACGTGTTTTGGTCTCGAAAACTTTTCTACACCGTCTCATCTGTTTCCATGGTTCACCATCAGCTTTAACCCGGCGGGTCACCGATGTCGTCCAATTACAATGCTAACAAAATATTTTCCTTACCCAGGGCTACGGCTTGGACAACGAAAACATTCGACTGCTCCGCTTGCGCAGTTTCACCATCGGCAGGCCTCTAGCCGACGAAGAGCTTATGAGTCCCAACGCACAGGACAAAATTGCGGCCCTTATTGGTATCATGGAACCTTTCGTAAGCCAATCCATCCCAACGCCCTTGTCGTATAGCCGTCGTTTGGCTTTCCCTCTTTGCTTGCCCGCATCTGCATCCATTGGATCCTAGCACCGGTATCAAATACGGGCCTTTTCGCCCCGTTCCCCTCTTCGCCTTTCCAGCCACTTCAGCGGTGTAGCCTCGGGCACAATGATACCCACCATTTAGCCAGTTGTGCTGGAGATAGCAGGGGTCACTTGGAGAGTCTTCTTATGTGATATTTTTACTGACAGGAGATGTCATCACTTGATAGGTTACGTACCTCAACAGCGTCGTCATGCCCGATCCGGAGGATATGGATGTCAGTTCCGGGTCGGAAAGTACAGACTAAGTCGGGCATCCTCTTGGGATGAATGATAGCATGGTGTCTGCCACAATGTAGGTGTATGTTTGAAGACTGTGTGGGGTATTTTTCTTAGTTGTCTCTCAATGCCTCCCCCCCGCTTTTTTTTTTTTTTTT